TCAGAAATTTCTTTCTCATAGTGGTGGAGGTTGAAGTCCAAGACCAAGGTGCCAGCAGGGCTGGTTTCTGATGAGAACTCCACCCGGCTTGCAGATGGCTGCCTGTGCTGTCTTCATGTGGCCTTTCCTCTGTGCACGTGCAGGGAGAGAGCGAGCTGTGTTGTCTTCCTCCTCATAGAAGGACACCGGTCCTATGGGATTAGAACCTTAACCTGTGTCCTCACTTCACCTTAATTACCTCTTCAGAGGCCCTGTTTCCAAACACAACCACATCAGGGGCTTCGGGCTTTCACACATGCATTTGGAGAGACACAGTTCAGCCCATGATACGGGGGTTGCTTTGTCCCGCATCATCAGGAATGGCCCAGCTCTACAACCTCTACCATGCTAAGTTGGGCTAGGAGCAGCCCCAGGCAAGCATGGCCTCTGAGCTGACACTACCCTACATGGGAAGCACGTGGTGTGCCACTGGCTTCTTGCAGGAGGTTTCCATGGCTGCCACAAGTCATAGCCATAAGGGCGACACTCACTCAGAGTCTGCTGGGTGCCAGGAACCGTTATGAGGCTCAGCATGCCCATGGACTCCCTGTACCACCCATGTAGTATGTCCCATTGTGCCCATTTTACTGATGGAGAAACAGGGACACACAGAGCTTGAGCAACTTTCTCTGTAGATGTCACAGCAGGGAATTGACCCTCCCAGCCCAGCCTCCTCTCCCTTTGTCTGAGGGTGGTTTAGGAATTCACAACATTCACACCTCTTGTGTCAAGCTAACCTGTGAAGGTGTTTAATATAATTTTTCTGCCAAGCATCCCAGCTCTAAGGGATAGGCCCAGGGCCAAAAACACTCACTTTGGCAGGACTCCAGCCCTATCTTACTGACATCCAGTGTTGATATACATGTAATAGGAATTTGGACCAAGAGCCCAGAGAGGTCTAGTGCTTTGTCTAAAGCCGCACAGCAAGCCAACAGCAAGGCCAAGAACAGAACCGTCAGTCTCATGCTTCTGGCCTAATAGTAAAAAATTCCCATGCCCTGCCTCTAGGCAGCTTGGCTTCCTGCAAAGAATCACCTGGCACCCTATGTTCGAATCCCACCTCTGCCACTTTTGAGTAGATGACCTTCGGCACATGACATCTCTTCTCTGGGCCTTCATTTTCTTGTCTGGAAGATGGAGAATAGCAACATTGACCTTCCTGGGCCTCACCTTGGGTAAATGACTTCATTCTTCCCCTTATGCCTCAGTTTCCCCACCTATAAAATAGGAACACAACAGTACCTACCTCATACTGCTGTGGTGAAGATGGTAGGAATCCTAACTCAGGTAAAGTGCTTTAGTTGTTAGATTTTGTCACAGCCTGACTTTGGCCAAGTTACCTGAATACCTGCCGCTTTCCCCCTCAAATCAGGGAACCAGGAAGGAAATATGGGAAGAAGTTGTCTCGCCAACTTATTAATAGACTTCAGGGAAGTCACACGACCCCACTTTTCCCCCTATGTGCCCTAAGGTAGGGAGTGCTGGACCCTCTAAGCCCCTCTCCAAGAGGACGTTCCAGGCTGGAATATTTGGGTCCCCGAGTTCAAGGCAGGATTATTGGATTCTGGATCTCCTGGGGACTGATGAGAATATATGAGACCATATCTGGTCCCAAGACAGCACAGATCATCACCAAGCAGACAGCTGGACTCCAGGTCACCACAAGACCAGGTATGCTGCCTCCCCTCAGGTGATGGCAGCCTTATCACACTTCCCAATCCCAGCTATGCACCCAGCACCGTGCAAATCTCTATCTACCTTCTTTCATCCAGGTATCACAACCACACTCTACACACTCGGCCCTATTTTCCAATAAGCTTCCCAATAATAATTCCTGGGAATTAGAAACAATTGTACTTCTCCCACTGTATTAGCAGGAAAACGAGGCTCATGGCTCCTTAGCATTTGGATCCAGACCTGGGCTTCAGCTTCTGTGAGCTTAACCACTATGTTCTATCCTGTGCCAGCAAACCAAGGCATAAAACGGGAGGCTTGGTATCACTGAACATGTATCGAGCGGGGGATCCAGCCAGCCCTGCTCCTTCAGCCTCTCCAGAGGCCCACCTGAGGGCAGCTCCCCCTAGCCAGAGTGCACTGGGCAGCAAGGAGTAGCCCACGGGGCTCAGAGCAGAGTGAAGCATCAGTCCCTGGAACTAGGATGGATGATACCCTTTATCACCCAAGTGTAATCATTTGGCTTAGATGGGCTCTTGGCCAGCCAGTCCCGAAGCCATGAGCTGGATCTTTTCCACCTCCTTGGAACCAGAATGAGCCCTCCATGGCCCACTCCGAGCTGCACCCTCCCATGTTTATCTAACTTCCCTGACCCCAGCAAGTGCTCGTGGCCTTTCTCTTCCTTTCTGAAAAACCAGGACACAATAGGAAGCGTTTCCTTGAACTTATTAAAAAATCCAGACTTGTAAATTAATTTGTCCGTGTTGTACAAAGGCAGTGCAGATGGACTCATTAGCATGCACACAACAAATAATTATAGATGAATTTTTAGCTGGCCTGCCTAATGCGCTTGCTGGGTTAATTATGTCAATGTATAATTACATCAGCCCGGGGAGACATAATGGCATACCCTGCTGAGCAGGCCCTGCCTAATGACGGGGCGTGGGGGGAGTGCTGACAGAGGAAAGACGGCAGCGTTCCCGTGCACCTGCTTACCTCGGCACAAACGCCCATTGTCAGAGCCTCCCACCACCTAAACAAACAGACAGGAGGAGAGGGATAAAACGCAGAGGCGACCTTGTTCCAGCCGGACCTGAAGGCTCCTGTGTATGTAGGCACTGGCCCATTTCTTCCATCAGCAGATGTTTATTGCGTCAGGTTGTATGTAGAACTTCATTCTCCCCCAAAGGGTCCGATGGGGAGCAAAAACAGATGCAATCCCAGCCCTGCCTTGTGGAGTTTGCAGTCCAGTGGGTGTTAATTAGGTAGACTTGCCAATCAATGAAAATTCTAAGTACAATGAGTGCTGTAAAGGAAAGGTGCCAGCAGCTGGGAGACCCAAATCAGAGGAATGACTGACTAGTCAAGGCAGGCTTCCTGGAAGAAGTGGCATTTGAGTTGCAATATGAAAGATGATTAAGCATTAACTAGCTGAAAGAAGTTAGAAGAGAAGACAGGGTGTTCCTGGCAGTGGCTCTTGCCCATACAAAGGCTCCAGGGTAGGAAGGTGCATTTGAGGAACTCAGAGAAAGCCAGGGACTGGAGCTCAAAAGGAATAGCCTGGGCTTCCATTTGTTCCAAAGTGACCAAACGCCAGGCACTTTTTGTGTGTGGATCCTCATCCCAGACCTCTGAGGTTGGTACTTTTATGGTTAGGTACAGAGAGGTAGAGTTGCTTGCCAGAGTCACACAGCAATCCTGAAAAGCAAGTATAGATTAGACCAGGACCCAAGATCCTTGCTCTCAATCCGTCTGTCCCCTAGCAGACCGCAGTCACCAAGTGGATGGTGGCAAGAGACTCCAGGAGAGGGACCAGCAAGAGAGAGAGGGCTCCAGTGCATTTGAAAGGACTGTGGACCAGACAGACCCAGAGCCCTTAGTCTTGAGCAAGGAGGCCCTGGCCTTCCGGGGCCCCCATGAACACCCACCTGGGCTGCTGGGGTGTAAGTGTCTACACCTCTGGGACAGGAAGCCTTTGTGGCATGTGAGAAAGAGATCCAGACCTGAACCTCACCTCCAGCCTTCAGTAAATCACTTGGCTTCTCTGAGCTGGTTTCCTCATCTGTGAAAAGGAATTGAATCCAAGCCAGCCTCCAGGGGATGGAACCCATTCCAATGAGCAGCTTTGTAACCTAAAAGAGGTCATACCAACCTCTGGCACCATCCGGGTGTCCTTAGTACCTGCCCATGGTGGAGAGTTGGGGAAAGTCACCGGGAAGAACTGCCGGAATCTAGATCTGAAGGAAGAGGAAGCACTTACTAGATGATGGGGAGGGGGGACAGAATTCCAGGTGGAAGGACCTTCACATTCCTCATCTTTTAGCTGTTGAGAAATTGGGAGGTATCTTACATCCAGGAATGTATTTCACCCCCAGAAAAGCCATTATCTAATCAGCCACACATGGGGCGCCTCAGTGGCTCAGTTGGTTGAACATCTGCCTTCAGATCAGGTCATGATCCCAGGATCCTCGGATCGAGCCCCACATCAGGCTCCCTGCTCAGTGGGGAGTCTGCTTCTCCCTCATATTCTCTCTCTCAAATAAATAAATAAAATATTTTTTAAAAAATTGACCACCCACATAGCAAATGACGGGGTGTTGGTCCAGGTCCATTGAGAAGCACCCCAAGGAGGATTAGATACATAGAACTGAGGAAACATGGGGCAAGGAAAATACGGAGGGGGGTGGGAGAGACCTCAGAGGAATGAGAGGCAAGGAACTGGTAGAAGCATCCAGACGGCTTAGTCTGGGCCATCTGTAGAGTGCTGGGGAGGCCTTGGGGACGTCACTGGTCCTTAGAGCAGTCCTGTGTCCCTCGGGAGTCTGTCACTTCCCCAGCTACTGCCTGCAGGCCTGTCTGGGAAGGCCAGGGGCGGGCTGGCCTCGGAGCAGTGGCTTTCAAAGCAAGGTCTTTGTTTAGTGACACCTCCTGTGGTTGGAGACATACAAGACACAGTCTCATGGCCACCACAGATGGCACCATAGAATCCAGAAAATGCCATTATTGTGACAGTTATTATTGTGATTATTATTCCCGGGTAGGCAAGACATCCACACCCATGGGGATGGCACATGCTCCCCTGAACAGGTTCCTAAAGAAGGCTGTTCCCTCATAAAGCAGAAATTCCATGTTGCTCTCTAAGCCATCAGAGCAACTCTAGAAGGCTCTTGTGAATGATTCCCTCCAGCCCCTGCAGAGGGACCCACCAGGCCCTGCAGCCTCAGCCTGGGCAGCCCTCAGCGCCTAGGGCCCCCACCGCTCTTGTGCTCCTGTCTCTGTGTGTGCAGACCCCGTGCCTGTGTTTGAAGCGACGCGCAGCCTAGACGACAGACTGCAGCCCTCCAGCTTCGACCCCAGCGGGCAGCCGCGGCGAGACATCCACACTTCCTGGAAGAGGCATCCCGAGCTCCTTGGCCCCAAAGGTACTTATAAGGCCTTCGCAGGACATCTGTAGTAAACAAATGGGCTGTGGATCTCTAGCAGCCAATCTTGGCCACCTTTGGAGAGGTGGGGGTAAGGAACTCGACTTTATCATTTTAGATGTAGGATGGGTTATGGTACACCACTGCTGAAACAAACCAACCCCAAATCCCAGAAGCTTAATATATTTAAGGAGTAGGAAGTTGCAGGGCATGCTCCCTGCAGTCACTTATGCACCCAAGCTGTGGCAATCCTGCCATTTTGGGCACATGACATGCAGTGTGACAGTGACTGTTAAAACTGGCCAACAGGCAGAGAAGAAATGTGGGGGATACAGAGGTTTATGGGTCCAGGCTTAGAAGCAGCACACATCACTTCCAGCCACATCCCATTGACCAAAACTCAATCATATGGCCACACCTGGCTGCAAAGGAGCCTGGGAAGGGTAGCCTGACTATATGCCCAAGAGGGGAGGGAAACAGATGTGGTGAACACAGCACTGTCTCAGCATCAAATGAGGCAAGTCAAGAAACTGGGAGAGCTAAAAATATAGTTCAGATATACATATGATAAAAATGTTTAAAAGCAAGAGAATGATGAACAAAACTCAGCATGGTGGTTACCTTTGGCAGGTAAGGTAGCAGGTCTCCATGGGGAAGAGCAAATACGCATGTGAAAGCTCTTGGGTGTTCATTGAGCCAGGCACTGTCATACTCACTGGTGACATTGTCAGGGGCAAAACATAAAAATCTTCTAGAGGGAAAGGCTGACTGTCACCAATAAATGTTAAATATATGGTATTTCAGGTGGTAAGAAAGGCTTTGGGGTGGGGGTGGGGGGAATTAAGCAGAGAAGAGGGGAAGAGATACTTGCCTAAGGAATTAAGGTAGAGATTTACCTCAAAGGTCAGCAAGATAATCTTTTTTTTTTTTTCGTAAAGGGCCAGAGAGTAAATATTTCAGGCTTTGCAGGCCACACATTTCCTATCATAGCTACTCAACTTTGTGTGGAAAAAAGCCATAGAACATAGGTAAGTGAGTGGGTGTGACCGTGTTCCAATAGACAAAACAAGTGGTGGGCCAAATTTGGCCTAAGGGCTATCATATCAGTGCAGACCCCTGGTCTACCTCCTGGAGTCTTGGAGATAATGGGCTGAGGCCTGCCAAATCAAAGTTTGACTGCTCTGGCCCACTCCCCATTTCTCAGGTCCCTCCTTCCCTCCTGGTGCCTAGAGAGTACCTAGTCTATGCCTGGTCCTGGGCAGTCTTCTGGGGAAGATTTATGTTGACACTGCCAGCTTGGTTCCTATACCCAGAATGCCCTTCCAGCCTCCCTGACAAACCAACTTATATGTAGATGGCTCTGTGAAGCCTCTGAGGTCCCTTTAGGGTTTGAACTTCCCTCTATCAGAATAATAGTGGTTGCGGGAACCGCATCTTCAGAGCATTTGCTCTGTGCCATGTGCCTTTCACACTGTATCCCACTGTCTCCTCATATAAACCTTCTGAGGTGTCACTGGCCCCATTTTACAAACAGGGAAACTGAATCTCAGAGGTAGCAGGCAGCCAAGCAGGGATTCAAACCAAGGGTCTTGACCTTGGACCTGGGCTGTGTCTCTCTGTGAGGACACTTGTTGCTGGGTATCTTGATGGTCAAACCTTGTTTGTTTGTTCGCTGCTGTGGCCTCAGCCCCTGGAACCTTCCCAGTGCATGTGTGTGTCTGTGTGTGTGTGTGAGAATGAGCCAGGCCCTGAACACTCTGCCAGGCCCTCAAGGGACTCTGCAGACTGCCCAGCCCTGCATTCACCCTGCTGTGCCAGGCTCACCACAGGACCTTAACAACCAGCACAGAACTTAACCAAGTCAGTCAGACCCAAGGTCGGGAACCCAGATTTTTGAATTCTTGAGACATTCACCTTCGATGGCTGGTCCCTGAGCACCTTTTCTCCCCATGACAAATTGAGTGCCAAAGGCACACACACTGATCCTCTGAAGGAGCCACCACAGGCTTGCAAAGGTGGACCTGATGTGGGCCCTGCCTCAGGGCCCTGGAGGTAAGGTGAGCTGTGACTGAGCATCTGAGTGTCTGCCATCACCTATGGGGAGGGGAGTTAAAACCTGCAGTTAGCCCATGACCTAGCAATTTCACTCCGAGCTGTCTACTCCGGAGAGCTGAGAGCAGGTACTCAGACAAAAACATGTACACAAAGGTTCCCAGTAGTACTGTCCACAACAGCCAAAGGTGGAAACAATCAAGACAACTGTCAACAGATGAATGGGAAGACAAAATGCGGCATAGCCATGAAATGGAATATTACTTAACTATAAAAACAAGTGACGGTCTGATCCATGTTACAACTTGAATGAACTTCAAAAACATTTTGCTAAGTGAAAGAAGCCAGACACAAAGGGACATCTATTATGTATGATTTCAACGATACGAAATATCCAGAACATGCAGATCCTTGGTGGTTGCCAAGGAATTGAGGGGTGGGGGTGGGGAAGGAGTGTCGGACGGGCTTCCTTTTGGGGTTGTGACAGTGTTCTGGAGCTAGTGCTAACAGTGGCACAATGCTGTGAATGTACTAAATGTCGCTGAATTGTATGCTTTTATGTATATTTTGCCATGACTCTTAAAAAAGTAAAAAGGCTGAGGAGGCAGGAACAGATCCCAGAGGGCAAAGGCAGCCCCTGGGCATGCTGCCTGAGGCTGGCACCATGGGAACTTGATGCTTGTTCACACACGCCCCCCTGCTCCGACGCAACAACCCAACTGACAGTGGTGATGGCAGGTCTCTCCGGATGCCCTCTCTCTACCTCCTGAGTTTGGGAAATGAATTCTTGTCCCAGCACTACCAATCCATCCGGTCTGTAGAAGGCAGCTCTGGCTGCCACGCCACTTCCAGCGATAGGTGGTTTTCCCTCTTTTTCTCCCTCTAGAGCAGAGAGAGGGGACGTCTCCGGCAGGGCCCACGCTGACCGAGGGGAGCCGCCTCCCGGGCATTCCCAGCAAAGCCCTCCTGACAGAAACTTTGCTGCAGAGAAATGAGGCGGAGAAACAAAAGTGAGTGGGGAGGAACAGGCGGGCCCCTGCTGCCTCACCTGGCTGGGAGGTGGTGGGACCTTCAGAAAATCTAGTGCAGGTTGGAGATAGAAATGCAGGCCTGGTTTCCAGCCACACCTCAGCAACTCAGTGGCCAGCCCTGGGCAGGTCACATCACCTGTCTGAGCTTCAGTTTTCCCAGCTGGAAAATGGGGCTAACGGTGGTGTATTGGTCAGGGTTCCCCAGAGAAATAAAATGAAAAGGATTTTTTATTTTACTTAAGACATGTATTTTAAGGACCTAGTTCACACAATTGGGGCTGACAAGTCTGAATTGGTAGAGCCAGCCAGCAGGCTGGAAGCTGCAGGAGTCAGGCAGGAGTCAGAGCTGCAGTCTTGAGGCAGAATTTCTTCCTCTCGGTTTTATTCTTAAGACCTGCAACTGACTAGACAAGGCCCACACACATTATGGAGATTATTCTTCTTTACTTAATGTCAACTGATTGTAGATGTTAACCCCATCTACAGAATACCTTCATAGCAATCCCAAGATTAGCGTGTGGCGGAAACACTGGGTCCTGGAGCCTGATCAGTGCACAGATGATATCAACTCCTAGTCTACCATAAGAATGAATATATGAGCTTAGCTCAGAACTCACTTGGAGGAGTGTATGTCAGTAAATGGTTGTCCTTAGAGCTGATGTGAGAGTAACAATGCCTGGATTATTATAAACCGGATTCTTGGGGCATTTCTAGGACAGTTTCCTGGTGCTCATTACATTTATCCTTTCACTCACTTACTTCTTTATTCATTTGTTCCATGTATTTATGGAGCCACTGCTGTGTGCCAAGCATTGTTCTAGGGACACAGCAGTGAACAAATGGACAAACCTCCTTGCCCTCCTGGAGTTTATTTTCTCATGAGGAAGATGCAATTAAACAAGATAAATAACGTGAATAGTCTGCTACATGATGATAAGGGTTGTGAAGGAAAATAAAGCAGGGGTGGGAATGAGATTAAGGCTGAAGTTTTAAAAAGGCTATAAGGAGAGGCCTCACTGAGGTGAGCCAAGCCCTAAGGAGGTGAGAGAGTGAAACTTAGAGATATATAGGGGGAGGGCTTATAGGCAGAGAGGACAGCCATTGCAAAGGCCCTGAGGTAGAAACATGTCTGGTGAGGTAGAAACATTTGACCAGCAGGGAACTGAGTGTGGCTAGAGTGGTGTGAGTGAGGGGAAGAGATAGGGTGTAGGATCAGAGGTAAAAGGGCTCCTTCTCTAGAGTCTCTGAGCCAAACACAAGGCCCAGGATTTGTATAAATTCTCCCCCAGTCCAGCTGGAGCCCCTTTTTCTCTGCTGAGACTCTTGCATCACACCTAAGCTCTAGGCTGCAGTGGGCTGGATGACTATCCCAAACAACTGACACAAAAGACGGGGGGAAAAGATGCCTCCCTGGGGACAAGAATAGTAACTAATGGTACTGAGGGAGCACTAGGTACCAGGCATCATGCTGAAGATGTTTCACAACACCTGTGGAGGCAAACCCCAGCAGAAACCTTATTTTATAGATGAGGAAACTAATGCCCAGAGAGGCAAGGTCACTGGCTAATATAGGTCCACACAGCAAAAGAGCAAGGCAGCCAAATGCCTGAATTTCATGTTTAGAACTGGTTAAAAAGGCAGAGGTGCAGATTACAGGGAGCAGGTGAGGGAGTAGGAAGCCAGGAGCGCTGACTCCAGGACCCAGGCAACGCCACTGCACATGGGCGCATGCAGAGCCAGTGTGAGCAGCCCCGGTCTCTCTGCAGGGGTCTTCAAGAAGTACAGATCACTTTGGCAGCCAGACTGGGGGAGGCAGAGGAAAAGATCAAAGTCCTACATTCAGGTATGTATCTGGCACATGTTCCCTGTCCCATGCGGCTCCTCAGCCTGTCAGACCAGGCGGAGGAGTGGGAGAGGACAGTGACACTATGATCACAGGCTCAGCTGAGTATTCTAGAATCAGGATGGCAAGGGGGGAGTTTGAGGAGGAAGAAGAAAGATCAACATTACCCAGTGGGGGTCTGAGCCTAGTCCCCGGAGGCCATGGTGCTGTGGAGAGAGGATTTGAGAAATAGAAGTAAAACAGAAGTGGCAACACAGTGCCTGTAGGGGCCAGACACACAACCAAACCAGCCAGGTTAAGGAAGGCAGTAGAGAAGGGTGGGGTCTGGAGCAAACTGGACAACCTAGGCCTTGACTAAAGAGATGGCCACTGCTGAGCTCCAGCCAGCCAATGCCATATGGGCCAGTGTCACCAAGTCTTCAATTTCCTTGGAGAAATTAGAAATCTGGACTTTTATATGAAATTTGTCATTTATTATACATATCACTGTTGACTTCATTGCTGCTCCTTGTCCTCCTCACTTGCCAGTTCTGGACCTCGGGGTGGTGAGCTCATGGATGGATGGCCTCACCCAGGTCCTGTAGTGCCCTAAGGGTGTGGGCAGTTCATACCCAAGGCCAGGGGACAGACCGACCCCTACCACTTGCCTGGGTCTTCTGAGCTTCATAGACTCTTAGAGGGCCATCTTGTCCGCCCTCCAACCAGCTTGAAGCCCTTCCATGGGCAGGAAACTCTACTTGTCACTGGTTCTAACCAAAAGAAAGGTCTTCCCATACTATCTTGAACCTAATTCTGCCTTCTGAGCCCTGTAGGAGTGGGTTCTTGGGGGAGGTGGTGGGGTGGGGGGCTTCATCCTGGTGCTTTACTTCTTCCCAGCGTTAAAGGCCACACAGACAGAGCTGCTGGAACTGCGGCGGAAATATGATGAGGAAGCAGCATCCAAGTAAGTGAACACCCTGCTGAGGTATGCCTTCTCACTCTGACCTTCCCAGACATGCCTCCTCCCTCTGACCCCACCAGGTAGGTCTCTTCCTTCTGACCCTGCCAAATACACCTTCTCTTTCTGGCTCTTCTCCCTTCAGCTCACTGCCTGAAGTGCCTATTTCATTAAGCATCCAGCGCTCCCCACCCCCATTGGCACACAGCTGTTCACTGGTCATTTGCTGTGCCATTCATGCACCACAGACTATAAATGACCTGCTGGGTTGTGGCTGAGTAGGGTCTGTTGGGCAGGGGCTTTACCCCAACTTCCTAGAATTGTCTCCACCACCACTCCACAGTCCAACCCTCGGGGACTGAGTGTCATTCACTTAAACTACTCTGGACTCAACATGGCTTTAAGACCTCATTTATTCCACAAACACTTACTTAGCACCTACTGTTTGCCCAGTGCTGTGTTAGGTCCCTGGAAGAAATATTAGAACATGGCGCTGTCCTCAGTCCAGGAGAAGAGACAGACAATAACTGATGATGTTCAGTGATAAATTCATTCCTTCACAGATACTACTTACTGTGTGCTTGACACTGTTCTGGGCACCTGTTGAATGCTAAGAAAAGAAGAACCAGGGGCAGCAAAAGAAAATAACAACAGGGAGGGTGGGTCCTGTCATCCGGGGTAATCACAGAGGACTTCCCTGAGGAGGTGACCTTCAGAATGCAATGTAAAGATGAGCAGGAGAGCAGGAGGTGGCTATGTGAAGAATGCCGAGTTGGGTGCTGTGGGCAGGAGGAACAGCTTACACGAAAGAAAGCCCCGAACATGCCTAAAAGCATGTGTGCAGCTTATAGTCACCAAACTCCTCGCAGGCCTCCCATGTCCCCCAGCCCACGCTCAGCAGAGGGGCGACCGAGGTGGATAAGGCCTGTCCTGGCCCCCTGTGTGCTGGCAGTCTGGCGGCTAGGGAAGCAGCAAAATAAGTAAATGATCACCATGGGGGTAGTTGAGAGAAACCTCCTGGAAGGGCACTTGGGAGCTGGGTTTTTGGGTTTTTTTTTAAGATTTTACTTATTTATTCATGAGAGACACACAGAGAGAGGCAGAGATACAGGCAGAGGGAGAAGCAGGCTCCATCCAGGGAGCCCGATGTGGGACTCGATCCCAGATCCCGGGGTCATGCCCTGACGCTCAACTGCTGAGCCACCCAGGCGTCCTGGGAGCTAGGTTTTAAAGCTCAGAGTCCTGTTCTCCTGAAGGACATTCCCGGTAGAAGGCACAGCTGGGAGGTGTAGCTCTGGGCAGCTAAAGAGAACAGACCCCTGGAGAAGGCAGCAGGCCAGGCTGCCTGGAAGGGGTGTGGTGCTCAGGCATCTGTCCCACTTCCCTGCAGCCTGGATTCTTCTATGCCCAGCCTGGTTTCTCTCCGGTGGGAAGGGTAGAGGGCAGCCTCCTTAACCTCCAAGACCCTGAGGTCCAGGTAGAGGCTGGGGTGATCTGGATAGGCAGGGGCCCAGAGGCTGCCCCACACCCCTCTCAGGGTGTTATCTTTCTGTCTCAGGGCGGATGAAGTCGGTTTGATCATGACCAACTTGGAGAAAGCTAATCAGGTGAGAAGATGTGCGCCAGCGCTCAGCCAGTCCAGGGCAGGGGGGCGGGGGGGTGTCTTGGGCCGGGGGGAGGGACTCAACCCAGTCCATACTGAACCATGTGCCATGCTGAGTGCTGGTACTGGGGAGCGTCTGGTACCCCGAGCTCCAAGAGAAAGGAGGAAGGGGTGCTGACACTGAGAAACAGGGTGACCCAAGCAGCCACATTTGGGGGTGGGGCACCTGAGCCAGACTCGAGGGTCAGGGAAGATGTCATGGAGGGAGAGCCAGGTTGCTGACACCTGTGAATAGATTGAAAATGCAGAGGGATGGCATTCCAGGCCAGGAGGAAGGCCACAGAGCGGTGACTGGTGAGCCCAGCCCACAGGCCAAGCTGGGAAGTGGGTCCTCTCCCAAGCAGACTGAGTGAGGAAACGTGTTCCACAGAGCCTGAGGCCATGACAAGGGACGAGCCCCCACTGCTTTCCTTCCCTCCCCAGCCCACCAGGTCTCCTGCAGCCTCTTCCCTTGATCCCAGCCACACCAGCTCAGCACTGGGCAGATCCCACAGTTCCTAGTGTCCCCGGCTTCTAGTTCCAGCCCAAGTTCTCAAAAGCCCATTAGCTTCTACAAGTCCCCATTTTCACCCTGCCTTCTGAAGGCCTCAAATGTACTGCTGCCTGGTGGGTAAAGCTGGCAAAAGTCTGAAAGGAGGCGAAGTGTGGCCATGGGATAGGGTCTGGAGTCTCAAGGGCCCAACACATCTCTACCCACACCAACCTCCCTGCAATGCCAGCAGCCAGGGACATGGCCAAGAGGGGCCAGCAGTGTGACCGCAAGGGGTCATTTCCCTGGAGTAGTACACCTGGCAGCTGAGTTCTAAAGCCCAGGAGCCCTTCTTTGGAGGAAGGGCCCAGAAGCATGGCTGTGCAGGCAGAAGGGCAGGGTAAAGAGCAGCATTTTTAGGGTAATTTTTTAAATACATAATCCATTTACATAGTTCAGAACTCAAAAATATTCATACTTAGGAAACTCCTGTCTCCTTCCCCAACTCCACTTCCCAGCCTCTCTCACCTGTGTCTAGGGTCTCCTTCTAGCCATCTATTCACAAGCTCGTGAATTACATGTTATGTTAACATGTAATAAGTTTATTATTTTTTAAAATGAACTATTAAGTATTTTAACAATTTATCTGTTTTAATTTCTAATATGATAAATATGGATATGCATAACCCACTGTGTAGTAAAGAAGTTAATTTTGCCCAAAAAGAGATCTGGCCTTTACCCTCAGTTTCTAGGGGGTAATTTTTTTATTTTATTTAAATTCAGTCAGTATATAATGTATTATTGGTTTCAGAGGTAGACATCAGTGATTCATCAGTCTTATATAACACCCAGTGCTCATTACATTACCTGCCCTCTTTAATGTCCATCACCCAGTTACCCCGTTCCTCCACCTCCCTCCCCTCCAGCAACGCTCAGTTTGTTTCCTGTGATTAAGAGTCTTACATGGTTTGTCTCCCTCTCTGGTTTCAGCTTGTTTTATTTTTTCCTCTCTTCCCCTATGATCCTCCGTTTTGTGTCTTAAATTCCACATATGAGTGAGATCATGATAATTGTCTTTCTCTGACTGACATATTTCACTTAGCATAATACCCTCTAGTTCCATGCATGTCGTTGCAAATGGCAAAATTTCATTCTTTTGATGGCTCAGTAGTATTCCATTGTATATATACCACATCTTCTTTATACATTTATCTATCGATGGACAACTGAGCTCTTTCCATAGTCTGTTGTGGACACTGCTGCTATAAACCCTGGGGTGTAGGTACCCCTAAGGATCACTATGTTTGTAGCTTTTGGATAAATACCTAGTAGTGCAATTGCTGGGTTATAGAGTAGCTCTATTTTTAACTTTCTGAGGAACCTCCACATTTACCAGAGTGGCTGCATCAGCTTGCATTTCCACCAGCAGTGTAAGAGGGTTCCTCTTTCTTCACATCCTTGCCAACATCTGTCATTTCCTGAGTTGTTAATTTTAGCCACTGTGACCAGTGGGAGGTGGTATCTCATTGTGGTTTTGATTTGATGTGGTTGTATTTCTCTTGACAAGTGGTGTTGAACATTTTTTCATGTGTCTGTTGGCCATTTGTATGTCTTCTTTGGAAAAATGTCTTTTCATGTCTTCCGCCCATTTCTTGATTGGATTATTCTTTGGGTGTTGAGTTTGATAAGTTCTTAATAAGTTTTAGAGACTAGTCCTTTGTCTGACGTGTCATTTGCAAACATCTTCTCCCATTCTGTCAGTTGTCCTCTGGTTTTGTCGACTGTTTCCTTTGCTGTGCAAAAGCTTTTTACCTTAATGAAGTACCAATAGTTCATTTTTGCCTTTGTTTCCCTTATCTTTGAAGACATGTCTAGCAAGAAGTTGCTGTGGCCAAGGTCAGAAAGGTTGCTGTCTGTGTTCTCCTCTAGGATCTTAATGGATTCCTGTCTCACATTTAGGTCTTTAATCCATTTTGAGTTTATTTTTGTGTAAGAAAATGGTCCAATGTTTGGACCATTCCTCTGCATGTGGCTGTCCAATGTTCCCCAACACCATTTGTTGAAGAGACTGTCTTTTTTCCACTGGATATTCTTTCCTGCTTTGTCGAGGATTAGTTGAGGATTAGTCCAGAACCCGTTTCTGGGTTCTCTGTTCTGTTCCATTGATCTATTTGTCTGTTTTTGTGCCAGTACCATACTGTCTTGATGATTCCAGCTTTATAATAGAGCTTGAATTCTGGGATTATGATGCCACCAGTTTTGGTTTTCTTTTTCAACATTCTTTTGGCTATTCAGGATCTTTTCAGGTTCCATACAAATTTTAAGATTATTTGTTCTAGCTCTGTGAAAAAAGTTGATGGTATTTTGATGGGAATTGCATTAAATGTATGGATTGCTTTGGGTAGCATAGACATTTTAACAATATTTGTTCTTCCAATCCATGAGCATGGAACCATGTTTTTCCATTTCTCTGTGTCTTCCTCAATTTCTTTCATGAGTGTTCTATAGTTTTCTGAGTACAGATCTTTTGCCTCTTCGGTTAGGTTTACTAGGTATCTTATGGTTTTGGGTGCAATTGTAAATGGGATTGACTCCTTAATTTCTCTTTCTTCTCAATTTTTATACCTTTCTAAAACAGAAACTATACTATACGATGCCCACCCTCCTGAACCTTATTTTTTCCCCACGTATATCTTAGAACTTGTTCCAAATCTGTATAAAAGCAGTCCCATTTGTTTTACAGCTGTGTGGTATTGCACTACATGGACACACTGTCATCTAACCCAGGGGTGGCAGATTTTCTGTAAAGGGGCAGAGTAAATATTTCCAGCTTTGTAGGTCTCTGCCACAGCTCTTCAACTTTGCCGTATGTGAAAGCATAGACAGAATGCATGCGAATAGATATGACTGTGTTCCAGAAAAACTTGATCTACAAAACAGGCCTCAGGCTGCAGTTTGCCCACCCATGGCCTAACCAGTCTCCTATTGATGAAGATGATGATGTTTCCAATCTCTTACCCTCATCATCAATCCCCCAGTGAACTCCCGTGCACACTCTTTCAGACATACCTGAGCCAATAAATAGGGCAAATTTTTAAAAGTGGAATTACTGAGCTGAGAATCTGTGCATTTTTAGTTGACAGATGTGGGCAAAATGCCTGATTTACACTCCCTGCAGCCAGTTAAGAGAGGACCTGTTTCCCTGCAACCTCGCTAACAACCGTGTATCGTCAAACTTTCAGATCTTTGCCAGTCAAATAGGCTTGAGAAAAGAAATCTTAGAGTAGTTTGGATAGGAAACAGTTTCTTTTAATGTTTATCTTTTCTGAGTGTAAAAGTAAAACCTCATTATAGAAAGTATGGAGAAGAAAATAAATGTCATAATATTAGGGTTTTTTGTTTTTATTTTTTTAAAAGATTTTATTTATTTATTCATGAAAGACACAGAGAGAGAGAGAGGCAGACACAGGCAGAGGGGGAAGCAGGCTCCATGCAGGGAGCCCAACGCAGGACTCGATCCCAGGGCCCAAGGATCACGCCCTGAGCTGAAGGTGGCGCTAAACCGCTGAGCCACCCGGGCTGCCCAAATTAGGGTTTTTTAAATCTGTATTAATATTGTCCGGAATGTGAACAAGAGGATCCTGGAGCAGAGCAGAGAAGTGTTATTACTTACATAGTAATAACCCTGCCAGTTTGCCTCAGCTTTTACCCAGGGGTGAGGATCAGATATCATCCCGCATGCCTCAGAGTTTGTACTGGAACCCCCATGTGTGAATCTGGGTGGTTATATAGAAGGACTTTCTGAGAGAGGGAGAAAATTATCTCCCTAGTGTCATGATGAACAGAAGGGCGAGGATCCTGGTTTTTTAGCATGTGGAATGCAAATACTTCTCTCCAAGGGGAAGATAAGACTAGTAACTTTCTAGTAGCTTTAAACCCAGCTTTACAACCCAGGGGATGTGTCCATGGTCTGGGTTTCTTCCCCCCATGGAAATGTAAACACATACCTTCAGAGAGGAAAATCTGCGGTTCTCACGGGCTAATGTCAGAAACTGACCTCCAAGCTTGTCATTTAGCCCAGTCCTGTTTCAGTCAGATTTGCTCAGAAAGCCCAAACTGCAGAAACAAAAGTATTTCTTTACAATCACACACACCCAAAACCTTTTCCAAAACAAAACTGACCTGACCCATTTCTGTCACAAGGCAGGATACACAGGATAACCAGTAAGTAAACAAATAAACAAATCAACTAAATAAATTAACAAAATGTGAACATGGGTGTGCGTGGGTCTCTATGCGCATATGGTAGGCATAGCCTCTTGATTACCAAGGTCAGCATGAAAGGTAACCATAATTATTATGACAACAACTCTATGAAGTAGTTACTTCTATCATCCCATTTTACAAACAGGGAAACTGAGGTTGAGCTGATGAAATCTCTTGCCCAAGGTCACAAAAAAACAGGGAGTGACAAAGTACAGATTTCTCTCTAAAGCCACAGGCTTCTACATTGTTAACATTTGGAAGCTTCCTTTCAGACTTTTTTCTTAGAAATTTTTGAGGAGTTAAGATCCACCACAGACCCAGTTCAGTAAACTAGCATTCTGGTTTAGATGTATTTCACTGCCCCCATTTCACAAGAGGAAAACTGAAACCCAGGGAGAGGAAGTGCCTTGCCCGGGGCCTGCCCCAGCTCATGGGCTGGCAAGCCACCTCTGCAGATGCTCCATCCATGTGGCAGTAGGTGGCATGGGAGCTAGAGACAAACACCCAGCCCTGCCTAAGTTGTGCAGGGCAATGGCAAAGGCTAGGGTGGGATCCAGTGTGACCCTGCTCACTTCTTAACTGCTCCTGCCTCGACTCTCCTCCCCAGCGCGCTGAGGCTGCCCAGCGGGAGGTAGAAAGTCTTCGGGAACAACTGGCCTCCGTCAACAGCTCTATCCGCCTGGCCTGCTGCTCCCCACAGGGACCCAGTGGGGTAAGGATGGTGGGGGAGCCAGAGGGAAAGTTTGGGAAAAGCCATGTTGGTGAGTATGAATATATGGATGACGTTTTGTGGATCAGTCATGTGCATCTGTGTGAAATTATGCACATGAATCTGTGTAGATACAGTGGGCATAGCATCTTAATTGCCAAGGTCAATGCATAGTTAACTGTAATTACTATGACTTGCTTTGCCAGCTGAAGTTCAAAATACAGCCACAACTCTTTGCAAGCTCAAGCTTCCATATGTGATTAATAGGAAGTCCAGCATCTTCCTTTACCCCAAATTGTCCAAGAATGCCAGCAACTTACTCAGGCCAGAAAGGACCATTTCCATTGCCAGATGCCTGGCAAGCTGGGTGGGAGGGTAAGTTTGAGCAATAGGACAGCAGTTTTGGTGGTTGCCACCAGGTGTCGACATTGACCACTGGCTCTCCATTCCCACAACTCACAGTAGGACTACTTGACCAAGATCGGAGATTGACACTCCCATCAGCCGCTGGTTCCCAAAACATGCCCACTGGAATCAGTGGGTTCTCCCAAACAGCCACACGCTACCAGGCACCAGTCTAGAATATCAGTCCTGAGGTTCCTGTGTTAAGCCTGCTCAGTGCATCTTTCTTTTTCCTCCTGATTGGTTGCCCCTCTGGGGTCCTGGGGTCAGAGGGATTTCAGTCAGAGCCACCCCAGCCAGACCCTTCTGTCCTGTGTTAAGAGTCTTCATTGCCAGGCACCTGGCTGGCTCAGTCCGTAGAACACGTGACTCTTGATCTCACAGTCATGAGTTCAAGGCCTACATAGGGCATGATGCTTACTTTAAAAAAAAAAAAAAAAAAAGAGGAAAGAAGAGAAACAGTCTCTATTGCTTCTCTCCCAGAAAGTTTGGGGTTCCTTACATAATCTGGTCCACCTTCTTTCCAGATCTCTGCATACCAAGAGGTTAGATTCCCGATTCCTTACCACAGGTCTGCTCCAGGGTGATTGGCAGTCTCCCCCAACACAGTTGAAGTGGCCAGCATAACTTTTACGTCACCTGACACCCTAAAACATTGGCCAGTGCACCTGTATCTGTATTTTCTGTTTCAACATTGGATTATGTCTCTGTGGACATGAGTTACTATGAATGTGTAGTCTGTGGCCTTGGGGCAAATAACTATATCCTTAATCTAACTGTGCCTCAGTTTCCTCACTTGTACAAGTCAGACCTACCTTATAGGGCTGTTGGGAGGATTACATGTAAATCACCTAGGATGGTGCTTGGCTTATAGTCTACACTCAGTGAATGCCTGATGCTGCCGTTAGCAACAGGAGTGTGGCTTGGATGCATCTGAGGTGTTTTTGCCCAAGTCGCGTGTGATCTCTGAGCACATACATGTCTGTGTGTCACAGTGGCATGTCCATATCTCTCTTTGATGCCTGGGTGTTTCTCTGTGTCTGCATGTCAGCATGAGTATTCCAGCAGTTACATGTCTCCGTGTGTGCTGTCTATAGCTGTGTTCCCCTGTGCCTGTGTCCCAGAAGGCAGTGTGTGTGTATGCCCATGTGACTGGATGTCTGCACAACACAAAGAGTGAGCACGAGACAGGCTGAGGGCAAGAGAGTTCGTGAATTCGCCCCAGAAAGGATTTGCCAGTGGTTCTTAATTAACCCCCGTGGAACCCAGCAAATGCCTGTGCTAATCAGCCACAGGGAATTTTGCTGGGGGGGGGGGGCGGGTTCTGAGCACAACAGTGGCGCTCGATGCTAATTAATTTAATGTGTTAATGGCATCCGCTTCCTGTTTTAATTGGCATTTATCTCCCTGGAAGAATAGCTGGTGTTGGTGGTGGCAAGCTGTTTTCTGCTCTGTTTTGTTTTTCGTGATCCTTCTTAGATTCATCTGTAACTATGCTCAGGACCAGCCTGACTTCAGGTCCTCTCAAACATCAACATCATCTTCATCCGGGACAAAGAGGCCATTCCCTAAAACCTGGAGAAGCCAAGGGGCTTCGGGCTGGGGGCAAATTAGGAGAAAGGAACCACCAGTCGTATGGCCTGTGGCTACAGGGTCTTGGATCTAATCCTGAGGGTCTGCCTGGAATGGAGTGGAAACATCTCTCTGGGATAGGACCTGTGCCCAGTTTAGAAACCTAAACCTTTATCTGTGATGTTCCCTCTGCCAGGAATCCAGTCCCCACCGCTTCCTCACAGGACTGTCTCCCTTTTTTTGTCCTCTTTTAACAAATGCTTTATTGAAGTTTATATAAGGAAAAATGTGCGTACCATGAGTGCACAGCATGTTGAACTTTTCAGAGATGCCATGACCAGCATCCAGATCAACAGGTAGAATGTTCCCAGCACCCAGAATGCCCCCTCATGTCCCCATCTGGGTACCACTCCCCAAGGGGAACTGCTCTTCTGACTTGTAACAGCACAACCAGCTTTTGCCTGTTTTTGTATCCGATCTTAATTGGATCACATACACATTTTGGTATCTGGCTTTTTTCACTTCATCTTCTGAGAGAATGGTCCATGCTGTGTTAATAGCTGTGGGTTATCCATTTTCAGTGCTGTATCATGTTCCATTTTGTGGATATACCACAACCTGCTCATCTATTCTCTGCTTGGAGGACATCCGGAGGGTTGCTGCCAAGCAATCTTCAAAATCACTAACTTATTCTTGAACTTGATCACAGTTCTTAGACACATCTTCCTCCAGAAAACCTTCCCTGCCCACTCTCCCTCGGTTTTAATACCAGAGGGAAGGCATCCATGCTGGTAGGACTGGCCCAAGCAAAGGCCCAGAGATAGGAGGAGGAAAGCCAGAGTCTATAAGGAGCAGCTGAGTTACTTTGGGGAGCCCAGCACAGGGTGGGGGGAGTTTGTGCCACCGATGGATTTCCCACTTTATCTGGGATTCAGGGGTGGGGAAGCCAGCCCCCTGCCCCACACCTCTTAGTCCCTCAAAGCTCCACTTTGTCCTCAGGATAAGGTGAACTTCGCACTGTGCTCAGGCCCCCGGCTTGAAGCTGCCCTAGCCTCCAAGGATCGGGAGATCCTGCGGCTACTGAAGGATGTACAGCACCTCCAGAACTCTCTGCAGGAGCTGGAGGAGACATCCGCCAACCAGATCGCGGACCTAGAGCGACAACTCACGGCCAAGTCTGAGGCCATAGAAGTAGGTCTTGGGAGAGGAGGTATACGGACAGGAGACAGAAGGGGCATCCCCACGCAGAAGAGTATGGACCAGCCTAAACCCATCTTTGTCTTCTCCTCTAGAAGCTGGAAGAGAAGCTCCAGGCACAGTCTGACTACGAAGAGATTAAAACAGAGCTGAGGTACCATGCAGAGCAGGGCTCCACAACCCCCAGCCTTCTTCCTTGGCAAGGGCGAGGAGGGGCCCTGGACAAAGTTCATGATCTTTCCCCTCCCACTGCACCCCACTTTGTCTCCTTTGTCCCCTTGTCTCTCCTTCATGGCAGCTTCAGTATGAGAATTTAAGCACGTTTGGTCCTTTGCCACTCAGAGCCACCTAGAGGAGAACGTGCAGGGCGGCTCGGGGTCCGTGTGGGAACTGGTGAGGGGTGGTGCTCTCATCAGATTAGCTCAGGCCAGCCAGTGTGGGGATTGCTAAACACAGCACCCCCCGGGTGTCACTGAAACCAGCTCACTGGCCTGCTCATTGAGGGCTCTTGTTGTCCTGAGTCCAGTGTTCTGTAGGGTCCATGGGTGCCCAGTTGTTCCCAGTCAGGGAAGAGGAGCTAGAGGGAGTACTCTCAATACCTCTCCCCAAGCCCTGGGAGTTTGGCTGGCCTCCAACTCTCTCCACTTTCTCTGGCAGCATCTTGAAAGCCATGAAGTTGGCCTCCAGCACCTGCAGCCTCCCCCAGGTGAGTGTCCCCGCCACTGTGTCCCACAGTGCAGGGTGCCCTTGGGAGCCCTCTCAGCCCCGCTTTTTGTCTCCTCAGGGCATGGCCAAGCCTGAAGACACACTGCTCATGGCAAAGGAGACCTTCTTCCCTGCGCAGAAATTCCTTCTGGAGAAGCCTGGCCTCCTGCCCAGCCCTGGTAGGGAAGATGGGATGCTCCTGGGGCCGAGGGTTGGGGATGGGCCTGCCCATGGGCCCATCTCTATGCCTGCAGACCACTGCCTCCCATGTGGGCAGGAGAAATGCAGAAAAGGGGTACACACTTACTGAACAGCTGCTGTATAGTGGCCCCGAGCTGGGTGCTCTCCACAGCTAGGCCAACTGGCAGTGTTCATACACACCTAGCCCACACGGCTCACTCAGGCCCTCCTAAGACCACCCCTCCTCCCCAAAAGGCTCCACTCATCCCCAAGCCCTGGTGAGCATCAGAAGAGGTGACAGGACACAAGGAGGGCATTCACACTGTTCCCCCCGTAGCAGGACTGCTGGTAATGACCTGCAGACCGTGCTCTCGCCCCAGATCACCTTCTCAGTGGCTCAGCCCTCCTCCCCACACAATGGCTCCATGACCTTATAGCTGTATGGCCCCAGCGCATACTTTCTGTGCTGCCTCTGTTTCCTCATCTGTAAAGTAGGGAAATAATCCACTTTGTGGGTGCTGTTCACATGGGGAATGCAAACAGGCAGGGCATGGGGGAAGAGGAGAGTGGCAAGGTGGGCAAGGGGCCAGGAGTGAGCATTCTGCTGCAGTTGGCGTCGATCCAAACTCCCCACCCTGGGGTCAGGCGCTGGCATGTAACAGGGGCTCAGTGGCTGTTCTCACCATAGGAGGGAGGGCTCCCTGGAGCTGGCGTGTGGGCCAGGCCTGCCCTGGTAGGGGTTTGTGAATCAGAAGGGAAGGTCTTTGTGCCGTGGGGCACCCGTAGCACCTCTCTCCCTGTACCCCCTTGCCCTCTCCTCCCCCTTTCTGTTCCTGAATTTCTCTCCATGTGTGTGTCTTCTGTCTCTCCCTATCTCTCTGCCTCCCCCCTTCTGTCTCTTCATCCCTCTGTCTCTTTCTGCCTCTCATTCTGTCTCTGCCTCTCTGTCTCCTTATCTCTGTTTCTCTGATATTTCTTTCTCTCCCCGTCACATCTGCTTCTTTCTCTCCTCTCTTCTTCCATCTGTCTGTCTCTCAACATTCTAGAGGAGGACCCTTCGGAGGACGATTCCATCAAGGACTCTCTGGGCACGGAGCAGTCCTACCCATCCCCTCCGCAGCTCCCGCCACCACCAGGGCCCGAAGACCCCCTGTCCCCCAGCCCTGGGCAGCCCCTCTTGGGCCCTGGACTGGGCCCCGATGGCCCAAGGACTTTTTCACTGTCCCCCTTCCCCAGCTTGGCTTCTGGGGACAGATTGGCAGGGGACACACTGCTGTCCAAGCACATGATGCCCCCCGCCACCTTCAAGGGAGAGACAGGCCTGCTGGTGTTCCCTCCGGCCTTCTACGGCACCAAGCCCCCCACAGCCCCTGCCACCCCAGCTCCTGGCCCTGAGCCACCTGGGGCCCCAGAGCCAGTGGAGGGGGGCGGGAGCAGCACAGCCGGGACGGGGGCCGGAGCTGAGGAGGAGCAGCTGGACACGGCAGAGATTGCGTTCCAGGTGAAGGAGCAGCTGCTCAAACATAACATCGGGCAGCGGGTGTTTGGCCACTATGTGCTGGGCCTGTCCCAGGGCTCAGTCAGTGAGATCCTGGCCCGGCCCAAGCCCTGGCGCAAGCTCACAGTGAAGGGCAAGGAGCCCTTCATCAAGATGAAGCAGTTCCTGTCGGATGAGCAGAACGTGCTGGCCCTAAGGACCATCCAGGTGCGGCAGCGAGGTGAGGGCCCTTCCCAAGGTGCAGGAGGTCAGAGCCAGACACTGCCACCTCACAGCTGTGTCACCTGGGGCAAGTGACTTTGCCTCCCTGTGCTTCGGTTTTCCTTTCTGTAAAACAAGGAAATATATCCTTGTTCCCTCCTTCCTGGGGCCCGCGGCTACCCTTTGCTCCATACCTGGCCCTAATGGGACAGCTCAGGCCAATCATTCTGGGAAAAGCCTGTGCCCAGGGGCCACCCTGGCAGGCAGGTGCTTCCTGAGGACCTCCAAACCTCAGTCCACCCTTCTGTGAAATGGCCTGGTTCCTGCCAACCTCGCCAGACTTGATTTTCTAGGGTATCCCTTATGAATGGCCCAAGCTTTGACCTCACAAACACACCTGAATTTGAGTTCCAGCTCTGCCATTCACTCAGTGGGTGACCTGGAGCAACTGACTTCAGTTTCTGTGTCTCAATTTCCCCATCTATCCCCATCTGTCAGCCTCCTGTGAGAGTTAAATGAGTATAAATCACTCAGCATGGCCCCTGGAACGTAGTAACTGCTTGAGAACTGTTAGCTGTGGTGGCGGCCATCATTGTTAGAACCCTTGTATTGTTATTATTGGTTCAAGCCAGAATCATTTGTAGATCCACTTTGTCACACAGACTGGCTAAGTGGTGGTCTGGCCCTCTCTCTCCTGGCCCTGGCCCTGGCCCTGGAGCCCCTGAGGGAGGAGGGGACCAGCCCTTCACCCTACCCAGCTCCAGGGACTGACCCCCCAGCATGCAGGCCCCCACAACAAATGCCCCCTTGCCTCCCCAGGCAGTATCACCCCAAGAATCCGCACACCAGAGACAGGCTCAGATGACGCCATCAAGAGCATCCTGGAACAGGCCAAGAAGGAGATCGAGTCCCAGAAGGGGGGTGAGTGTCACTGCAGCAGGCAAGGCCTGAGGCCTCCGGGACCTTGCCTGAGCAGAGGATGAGCCTTCATCTGCCTTTGTCTACCACAGCAGGGATTTCAAGTGGGTCAGAACCTCTTTGCCAACCAACCTGCAACCAAGTGAAGCCTGGAAAGCACCAGATCCCTGTTAGCATAGGAGCCACAGCCATGTGTGACTGTCTACTCAAATTACTTAAAGCTAAATAAAATAACAGCTTCAGGTTTTCAGCCTCACCAGCCACATTGCATGGTGACAAGTGACAGCCATGTGGGACAGCCCAGCTATACTGCTGCAGCCCTGGTCTGGATTGTCTGGATATCTTCGACTTTGAGGAGACGCAGGGATCAGTAATCACACAGGAACTCTGTCACGCATAGAGGCCTAAGCCTCACCCTCCTTCCTGCACTTCCACTTATAGTTTCCAAGGAGACCCTGTTCTCCTGGCTTCCTCCTATCCCCAGACTCTACCTTCTACACTTTGCCAGGGGCCCTGCATTAGCCTCGTCATGCTGCTGTTCAGCCACAAGCTCAGTGGCTAAAAGCAACACAAATTCATTATCTTACAGTTCTGAGAGTCAGGTCCACAGTCAGCCTCACTGGGCTAGAGGCCAGGTTCAGTGGGGGCTGCGTTCCTTCTGGAGGCTCCAGACCAGAGTCCCTTTCCTTACCTTTCCCAGCCTCTAGCGGCACCCACATTCCCTACCTCATGGCCAACATCACTACAGCTTCCTCACTTGTCTGTGATCCTCCTGTATTCCTCTCATCAGCCCTGTGATGATGTGGGGCCCACCCACATAACCCAGGATTGTCTGCCATCTCAAGATCCTTAACTTAATCACTTCTGCAGAGTCCTCTTTGCCATGTGAAGTAACCTACTCCTGGCCCAAGGATGTGGAGACAGTTGGGAAACCCTTATTTAGCCAACCACAGTGTACTTTTTTCCTCAGCCCATCAAACAAAGGGTTCCCCCAGGCTCTCGGACTTTCCTACCCTTCCCTAAATGAGTTAGTCCACTCCTGGAAGTTCCATCAACGCCCAAAACACTCCCTCTCCAGGCCACACTTCTCTCCAGAATTCCAGAGCCCTAAGCAAACCACTGGCTAGACATGTCCTCAGGGTCTCCTACTGGCATCTCGGACTCAGCGTGTCTGAGGTGGAACTCACTGCCTTCCCCTGCCCCTCAGTCCCTCCCCAAACCTACCAACTCAGGGCTGGGAACCTGTCAGATGGTGCCAGATGCCCAGGTGGCACGAGAGGCTGTCCTTGACTGCCGTCATCATCACTTGGTAGGACTGTTGCATCAGCCTCTTTACTGGCCTTGCCACTGACATTCTAGGTCCCACTGCAGCCCATTCCCCACCCAGGCCAGAGGACTCTTACTAGAGCACACACATGGTCATGCCAGTACTCAGAATCCTTCCACAGCTCCCCATTGCCCTCAAGATAAAAATCCCAACTCCTCAAGAAGGCCTGCAGGCTTCTCGAGTGAACTGCTAATAGCCATGTTCATTCTCATGCTGTTCCCAGTGCCCCTGATGCCATCCTCACCCCGGGCCTACTGCTCATACTAAACAAGTCGGAAGTCACCTCATCTAGAAAACCCCCCACCCTCATCCAGATGGATTAGATGCTAACCCTCCTTGGATTCCCCATAATCACCTACATTGCTTGGTGCATTGGAACCAGAGTGGCCTAGCTATAAATTTTGGCTCTGCCGTTTATTAGCTTTGTGACATTGGGCAAGTTACATAGCCTCTCTGTGCCTCCATTTTCTCATATTTAAAATAGGCACAATATTAATACTCCTTTCTTAAGGTTGTGTGAAGATCAAATGAAATCAGGCCTGACAAGCCTGGGGGCTTGGCATGTAGAAGATGCCCCTGAAAATTTAGCTATCATATGGTTAACATCATCATTATTTTTGTCTCTGATGTTATATTTGTTCATGTTACCAATGCCTCTGCTGATACGTCTGTCCCTCCTACCAGTCTGAGGACTTTTTGCAGCCAAGGACCTAGTCACATCCCTGTACCCACCACAGTGCAGTGTGACAGACTGTTGCTGACTTTGAACCTGATGCTGGCTTCCACACCCTGACTTTGTGGTATCTGCTGCCTCCTGGTGGCAACTCAGAGCAAATGTCCCGATTCCCAAGCCTCTGATTGGTGCTGGGAGCCAAACGTTTCCCAAGGGCCCTCCCTCCTGCGCCATCCCTGGGAGGGGCAGAAGCAGCTCACCTTGCAAGGAGCCTACACTGCCTCACCCAGATAATCCACTGAGGCCCTATTGTGTACACCTTAATTTCTTTCTTGTTAATCTTCTGTAGCAAGAGAGGCAATCATTCGGTAAACTTTGGGTAAGGATCTACTACGTGTTGGACATACTGTGGATGAGACGTGATATTGGAGTAAAAAGAACCATGAGAAACAGACTTATTAAACTCTCCCACTAAATAAACAGGACAGTTGAGAGCAGAGAGGGGGAGACATGCTCACAGTTACACAGAAACCAAGGGAGAACTCAGGTCTCCAACTCCTTGCACAGTGCTCTCCCACAGTAGTGGGGCTGTGGCCAAAAACAAGATAGCAGAAAAATTTAAAAAGCAATATCAGGGGTGCCTTGGTGGCTCAATCAGTTAAGTGTCTGACTTGATTTTGGCTCAGGTCATGATCTCAAGGTAGTGAAATCAAGCCCCAAGTCAGGCTTCGTGCTAGGCAAGGAGCCTGCTTATACTTCTCTTCCTCTTCCTCTGCCCCTCCTGACCGTGCACAGGCTCCCTCCCTCTCTCTCTCTCTCTCTCTCTCTCTCTCTCTCTCTCTGTCCCCCCGTCTTAAAATAATCTAGATAGAGAGATAGAGAGATAGATAGATAGATAGATAGATAGATAGATAGATAGATGATAGATAGGCAACATCACAGCAGAGTGGGCCAGCCAGGGGTCTATGAAGAGGTAGCAAAAGAAAAAATGCCTGGGTTATTGCTCTATGCCCCTGACAAGAGTGAATGCTAAGCGGAGAGCAACTAGCAGTCCCCCAGGGTGGAAATGAACATGACTGGTGGCTGACTCGAGAGGTCTGCCCTCAGAATTGAAGGAAATATCTAGGATGGGGACAAAGACTTATATATAAGCTATTCCTTTATTGCTGTTCACAACAGTGATAAACTAGAAATAACCTAAGTGTTCAACAGTGGGGGATCAAGTAAAAATAAAGCAGAGAATATCCCTTCAAGTGGCATAGGCATCCATGAAAGATGGAACTTTTAATCATGAGGAAAAATATTCATGTTGATGAGTGGATGAACCAGGCTACACTCCCACATCAAGTATGATCGCCCCATCATGAAGTTAGAAAGCAGACCAGGAGGAGATACATGAGAATATTTCATATGGTTGCCTTTGGGAGAGAGATTAAATTCATTTAACTGGCTTTATTGTGATATCTTCACAGTATCTCCAAAGTGTGCTTATTAGTGATGCTGTGTACATCTTTGCCCTTCAAACCATGCCCTGACTCTGGGCCTCTGGCCACCCTATCACCTTCCCAACAGGTGAGTCCAAGAACTCCACAGCCCCTCTCAGCATCACCAATGGCACAGCCCCCGCCAGCACCTCAGAAGATGCCATCAAGAACATTCTGGAGCAAGCACGCCGTGAGATGCAGGCACAACAGCAGGCCCTGCTGGAGATGGAGGCAGGCCCCCGGGGCCGCTCGGTGCCTCCCTCACCCCCAGAGCGGCCCTCGCTGGCTGCTGTGAGCCAGAATGGGGCCCCAGCCTACGTCAAGCAGGAGGACAGCAGCAGTGGTGGTGGCGGGGGAACCAGCAGCAGCGCCACACAGACATCCCTCACAGTCCTGTCCCCTGCAGCCTTTGTGCAGAGCATCATCCGGAAGGTCAAGTCGGAGATCGGAGATGCCGGCTACTTCGACCACCACTGGGCCTCAGACCGTGGCCTGCTCAGCCGCCCCTATGCCTCCGTCTCACCCTCCCTCTCCTCTTCCTCCTCCAGCTACTCTGGACAGCCCAATGGGAGGGCCTGGCCCCGTGGGGATGAGGCCCCCACAGCCCCTGAGGACGAAGCAGCAGGGGGCGAGGAGGAGCCCTCCAGGGTGGGTGAGCTGAAGTCTGAAGGGGGCATCCCCGAGGCAGGCAGCGGCGGGCGGCTGGCCTACTACCCAGCATATGTGCCCCGCACACTGAAGCCCACCGTGCCACCCCTGACCCCCGAACAGTATGAGCTTTACATGTACCGGGAAGTGGACACCCTGGAGCTGACACGCCAGGTCAAGGAGAAGCTAGCCAAGAATGGAATCTGCCAGAGGATCTTTGGGGAGAAGGTGAAGATAGTAGGGCCCACTCCCAAGAAGCTCAGGGGCCAAGGGGCCCATGGGACCTGGGGGGAGACCACGTGAGGACCCAGCCCCCAGTATTTATGGTTTGGAAAGAGGATTGTGTGTATGAACAGGAACAAGGTAAAAGCAGGATTCAGACCCAGGTCTGCATGACCCCAAACCCTTTTTCCTGCAACTACCTGCCCTGCATCCTGTGGGAAAGGAGCCATGGGCAGGGCTGGCATTCAGTCCTTTGGTTGTTCAAGCAGTGAACACTCACCTTCCCGACAGAACCCTCCATTCCTTCCAATGGCCCAGCCATGAAAGGGATAAGGCTCAGCCCAGCCAGTGGTGCCCTGAAGTTCCAGTGATTAAGTAGTTTTGTTTTTTTTTTTTTTAATTTTTTTTAGTTTTTATTTTTTTACTTATGATAGAGAGAGAGCGAGAGAGAGAGGCAGAGACACAGGCAGAGGGAGAAGCAGGCTCCATGCACCGGGAGCCTGACGTGGGACTTGATCCCGGGTCTCCAGGATCGCGCCCTGGGCCAAAGGCAGGCGCCAAACTGCTGCGCCACCCAGGGATCCCAACTCTACCCATAGCATAGGAGCAGGCAAAGGGTTGGGTGAGCTGAGGATAAGAGTGACCTAAGTGGAAGACACAGGAAGACTTCCTGGAGGAGGGGGCACTTGAGGGGTCTTAAAGTCAGGAAGGATTCTTACCTGTAGGGATATCTGGAAGGGTACTGCCGATGGTGGGCATAACACAGGCACACAGCAGGCACCTGGGAAATGAAAAAACAAATCAAGGCAGCCCTGGTCTCCCAGAGAATCAGAGTGAACAGTGGTCCCGAAGGGTCTTGTGGAGAGGGAGGGAAGGGATGGCCAGTGTCCCAGGAGCCTACCTCCCTACCCTTCCTGCTCCGCCCATCCCCAGGTGCTGGGCCTGTCACAGGGCAGTGTGAGCGACATGCTGTCCCGGCCGAAGCCGTGGAGCAAGCTGACGCAGAAGGGGCGAGAGCCCTTCATCCGCATGCAGCTGTGGCTCTCAGACCAGCTCGGCCAGGCCAGCAGCCAGCAGCCCAGCGCCTCCCAGGGTGAGTGTGGTTGGGGCCCTCTGGTGCTGCCAGCCCCCAGAACTGCCGTTCCCAGCTGCCGTTATTTCTCTCTGGAAGACTGCAGTGTGCTCCTAGATGGTCTCCCTGCCCCACCTTTCATCCTTCAACTAGCGGGATGCCCTCTGTTGGTGGTTTTAACCTCTAGATGGTGCCAGAGTGCCTAGAGCAAGTGGAGAAAATACTTTGCAAGCGGAGCCACACCCTCTGATCCCCTCACCTCTCCTCACCGGAATCGCTGATTGATCTCGTCTTCCCAGCGATCGGGCTCCATGCAGCCTCAGAATCCTTGGCCCAGAGATCTGGGCCGTTATCCATCCATTAACGATGCACAGGCAGGGTGGGGTCAGAACCTTGCCTGAGTGAGGAAACTGAGGCTCAGAGAGTTGTCCAGAGTCACAGAACAAAGGTGGACAGATAAAGTCAGGGGAGGGACTCTAGGAAGCCCAAGTTCCCCCCACCCCCACCCTACACACCCCCCACCCCCGCCCAACAAAGACCAGTGGGCAGGTCAGTCGGATTCTGGGTGAAGTGCAGGTATCAAGAATACTGCCAGAAACATAATGCCAGACAACAAAAGCATCCCAGGTGACGGTGTTTATTCTAGAAGTTCATGCCCATAAGACAAGGCAGCACATTGTTGTAGCACTGGCTACAGGCCTGAGCATTAAAATGTCAAAAAGAGAGACACTCGGCTAGCTCAATTGGTAGAGTGTGAGACTGTTGATCTCAGGGTCATGAACTCAAGCCCCATGTTGGGCATTGAGTTTATTTGAAAAAAAAAAAAAAAAAAGGTCAAAAAGAGCCACCACTCACCGCCCTGGGAAGAGGGGGGGTTCCCTGGGGGAAGGGACCAGGAAGAGACTGGGAGGGGACAACTCTGGCTGTCTCTATCTTTGTCTTTAAAACAAACAGAGATTTGAAGCAAATAAGGGAGTGTTAACATCTATTAAGGGCATGGAGCTGAGGAAGGGAAGGAGAATTTGTGTTTCCTTTTCGGTATATTTCTATACTGTGTAATATTTTATAATTAAAAATTTAATTGAGAAACTCTTCTCCATCAGGCTGTTGTAAGGACTAATGTAACCATTCTAATGACAGCTGCCATTTGTCACAGACAAGGCTGAGTGAGCAATTGCAGTATCTTCCTCTTTAATCCTCACATCAATCTTGACTGGGGGGACTCTGTCATTCCCACTTCACAGAAGAAATCAAGAGTCTGAGAAGTGCAGTGATTTGCCCAAGGTCACTGGCCAGTTAGTGGCAGAGCCAGGATTAGAACGCAAGGTTTTTAGCCATTAGGGCTCATAGGAGTGCCTACCCCAGAGCCCGTACCTGTGAAAGAGTTCCCATCCTTGTGTTGTATCATATTGTAATTAATTCTTTTATGGTGGTAAAATTTACACTACGTAAAATTTACCATTTGAACCACTTTTAAAGTGTACAATTCAGTGGCATTTAATACATTCACAACTTTTTTCTTTTTAAGATTTTATTTATTTATTCATGAGAGACACAGAGAGAGACAGAGACCTAGGCAGAGGGAGAAGCAGGCTCCCTGATGGGATCCCAGTATGGAACTCCATCCCAAGATCCCTGGATCACGGCCTGAGGCAAAGGCAGACGCTCAACCACTGAGCCATCCAGGTGCCCCAGTATATTCACAGCTTTGTGCAACCCCCACCTCTTTCCAGTTCCAGAACATTCTCATCACCCCAAAAGGAACCTGTATTCATTAATCAGTCATGCCCACTCCCCGCCCCTGCCCTGCCCCAGGCCCTGTGACCACCAACCTGCTACCTGTCTGTATGGATTTGCCTCTTCTGAACATTTTCTATCAATGGAATCCTACAATATGTGGCCTTTTGTGTCTGGCTTCTTCCACTGAGCATCATGTTTGCAAGTCTCATCCATGTTGTAGCTCATGTCTCAGTATTTCATTCCTTTTTGTGGCCAAATAATATTTCCTTGTGTGGATAGACCACCTTTTGACTATTGTGGATAATGCTGCAGTGAACACTCATACGTGTTTCCGAACACCTGTTTTTGATTCCTTTGATATATACCTCAGGGTAGAATTGCTGGGTGAGATGATAATTATATGTTTAACTTACTAAGGAACTTCCAAACTGTTTTCCATAGTGACTGCACCATTCTACATCCTGGGCAGTAAGGGGGGGAGGGGTTCCTATTTCTTTACATCCTCCCCAGCACCTGCTATTCTCCGCCATTGACCATCCCCATCCCAGTAGGTGTGAATTGGCATCTCCTTGCAGTTCTGATTTGCATTTCCCCAGTGTCCAGTTGTTTGGATTTTTTACAGTGTCTTTGTTGTGTAGGGATAGAGTTAGGCAAAAACCATCAAGAGTAGTGTACCTGGTGGAAGAAACAGCACAAGCAAAGGCTAGGAGGAAGGATCCTTCACAGATTAGGAAGGGAATGAGGTCCAGTGAACATGGACACTTTGTTCCCTGCCCCCCGCCCCCGGCCTCCCTGCAGACCAGGAGGCCAGGGCCAATGTTCATGGAGGCAGAGATGTGCGCAGTGGCTGCTGGCTTGAGTGGAGGGTGGCTGATCCAACCAAGACCCCCACAGCCACAACCTGTCCTCAGCCTAGCAGGAGAGGGATCCATTGCCCAAAGGTCACACATAGTGTAGCCGTGGGATTGAGTATGGACCTGTTCCAGCCCCCGTTTTGTCCATGGCCTGGGGGATTGGGGATGAGCTGGATGCCAGGGGAGACTTCCAAAGCGTGGCCTCCCGCCCACCTGCCATCAGGGGATGGTTCAAATAACCGACTCTTCAGCACTGCCCCCAGTAGTCACATGGGTACTGCAGCCACTTGTGTCTGAGGCTCGATCCTCAGAATTTTCTGGCTCCCCCCACGTGGTCTCTGACTTCCCCCGAGTCTCCCCTACCATCGTCAGTGTCTTTTCTCTCTCCCTCCCTTGTCTTTCTGGCTGCCTTTCTTACTGGTCTGTCCCATTCCCTCTCCCCCCATCTCCTTTTTTCCCTGCCCCTCTCTCCCACTCTGTGCCTGGCTCTACTCTGTGTTCCTCTGTCATTCCATCTCTCTCCTTCCATGTCTCCCTTGCTGTCTCCGTCATGACTAGCTGTTCTTTTTGCCCAGGACATGGGACTTTCTAAGCTACAACCAGCAGAGTCCTGGGCAGACAGACCAGTTGGTTGCCCTGCTCTCCCCGCTCTGCCCCACCAATATCCCTGCCCCATGCCCTTGCTCAAGCCCCAGCCAACCTGATTATTCATGTCCAACCTCCTTTATAATTAGAGTGTTCCTCCTGATAGAGTTAATTTGTGAATCTTCCAATAGTTTTGTCAGAAGTGGTCCTCGGAGGACGCCCGGGTGGCTCAGAGGTTGAGCGTCTGCCTTCGGCTCAGGGCCTGATCTGGGATCCGGGATTGAGTCCCGCATCAGGCTCCTTGCAGGGAGTCTGCTTCTCCCTCTGCCTGTGTCTCTGCCTCTCTCTCTCTCTGTGTGTGTGTGTGTGTGTCTCATGAATAAATAAAATCTTTAAAAAAAAAAGAAAAGAAAAGAAAAAGAAGTGGTCCTCAAAGTCTGAGTTGTCAGAAAAGGCCAGCGTTCTGCCTAGAGGCTTCTGATTTCAGAGTCATCTTCTAGGTTTTCCCTCCATCTCCTCATCCTGCTCGCTCTCTATTTGGAAATCTGGCCCTAGGAAGGAGATGCTCCTCTTCCGTGCCAGTGATGGATGGACTCTCAAAACAGTCTCTTGCATTCCCAGGCTGGCCCTTCCCTACCAGCATTGTGTGTCTGTTGGTGACAGTGATGGGGAGACGTGTCAGCTCCAGCATCACATGGATGCCACTTGGATAACCAGGATCAGCCCAGTTTAGGGGCAACGAGGAATAGCAGTGACTTCATGCCAGATGTGGGCTGCCAGCCCCACAGCGCCATGATGCCACTGCTCAGAACTTTAAGGCTTCACTTTACACCTTGCAAAGGTACACAGTGGTCCTGACCAAAATTTATTCACTCAACAGTCTTCTGCCCAGCACCTCCTTCCTCTCCAAGCTCTAGAACCCACCTATGATGAATGTGTTGTCCCGGCCTTGCAGGGGCTTGTGGTGGATGAGAGGACAATGTGAGATATAAGCAGACCTCAGCTTGCCACTAGTCCCTGTGACACCTTGGACACACTGCCTAACAGCTCTGAGCCTCAGTTTCCTCCTCTATAAAATGGGATGACATGGTAGCTACCTCCTACAGATGTTGTGAAGGTCACTTGAGGTCACATAACACTATGCTGGGCATTTAATAAGTACACAATAAAAGGAAGCTTTATTAATTATTATCATCATCATTATCATTGTCATCATCTAGTAAGGGTGAGATCTGACATAAGAGAGAAATGATAGTGAAGTGTAACAGTGTAGTCAGGGTGCTGTTACACCTTAAAGCTGTATCTCTGGGAAGGGACATTTGGGACTAGGTCTCAAAGGATGCATAAGGAGTTCAGGGTTAGGGAGAAGGCCTTCAGGATGGCAAAGGCATAGGGGCTTAGAAGAGCCATGGAGGGTTTTTTTGGGGGGTAGGGGGTTGGTGATTAGAGCTGTCAAAGTAGCTCCAAGTCTGTGGGGTTGACTCTTACAAGAAAGTCCAGAGCCTTAAACACTGGGACAGGAGGGCACATTCCTTGTGCAAGGGTCAATAGGAAGCCATTTAAGGTTCTGGAGCACCCATCCAGAGCAGAGGCTCAGGATGTCCTTTCTGGAATCAAAGCCACAGAAGATGGTTGTGGGGCTCTTTCCACTTCCTAGCCATCATACATACATCATATTTTTATACTTAAATTTCCAGCAGGCAGCAGCCAAACGTCTTAAAGAAGAGGTATTGTTTCTAATTTGCTGGAAGGTACCTTGCGGACCAGCACTGGGATTCCTCAGTCCTCCACCATGATCGCACCTCCTGGCATAGTGGAGAGGCTTAGTTGATGCTGGAAACCCCAGTGGGTGGCTGACTCCTCAGGAGGTGACCTGCTTTATCTCATGGAGTCCTTGATAGCACTGAAGAGGGTTGGTGCAGGCATGGTGCTACAAGCTCTGTGGCCCCATTTAACAGATTCAGGGAACTTGGGGTTTGGCGAGGTCGTCCTACCCAACATATCTTCCAAATGGCTTTTTTTTTTTAAGATTTTATTTATTTATTCATTCATGAGAGACACACGGGGAGAGAGAGAGAGGCACAGACACAGGCAGAAGCAGGCTCCATGCAGGGAGCTGGACGCGGGACTTGATCCCAGGCCTCCAGGAACACACCCTGGGCTGAAGGTGGCGCTAAATCGCTGAGCCACCGGGGCTGCCCCCAAATGGCTTTTGACAAAGGAAAACTGTGGCTTATAAACTCACTTTTTAAATATGCCAGTGTAAGGATCCCTGGGTGGCATAGCGGTTTAGTGCATGCTTGGCCCAGGGCGTGATCCTGGAGACCTGGGATCGAATCCCACGTCGGGCTCCTGGTGCATGGAGCCTGCTTCTCCTTCTGCCTGTGTCTCTGCGCCTCTCTCTCTCTCTCTCTCTCTCTCTCTCTGTGTGTGTGACTATCATAAATAAATAAAAATTAATTTTAAATAAATATGCCAGTGTAGAATGGACATATTTTTCTTTTTACAGCTTTATTGAGATACATTTGACATACTAACACCGTATAAGTTTAGAGCATACAATGTGAGGATTTGATATGCTTATATACTGCAAAATGTTTACCACAACAAGACTGATTAACACATACTTCACCTCACATAATTACCATTTTGTTCTGTTGGGAATAGTAAAGTTCTATGCTCATATGCAAGTGTCAAGTTTATAATGGCGAATTGTTCACCATAGTCATGCTGTACATTAGATCCCCAGAACTTCTCTTATGTGGACATCTTTTGGTTATATTATTTTTAATTGCTTTGGGGAATCACCATATTTCATTTAATCTCTCTGGTGGTCAAGTTTATAGAGGGTTTCTAAATTATTTTTTGTAACTTTTCATTTTTTGAAGCAATTCTAACTAATTGAAGAGTTGAAATGATAGAACAGGACTCCCTGTACTCCACACACAGACTCACCAATTGCTGATTTTGCCACATTTATGCTCTTTCTCTCTTGACCATTTGAGATGTTAGTTGACAACATCATATCCCTTTACCCCAAATACTTCAACAAGTATTTTCCAAGAATGAGAAAGCTGACAATGATACAATATCATTGATGTAGCCTACTATCTATATTCAAGTTTCTTTGGTTATCTGAATAATATTCTTTGTATAATTTTTTTTTCAAGTAAACTCTGTGCCCGACGTGGGTCTTGAACTCACAACCCCAAGATCAAGACTCGCATGCTTCACCAACAGAGCCAGCCAGGTGCCCCATCCTTTATAAAATTCTGTTTCTCCCTGTCCAGGATCAGATTCAGGAACCCTTGTGTTTCATTGTCATGTCTCTTTAGTCTCCCAATTTGAACATTCTTCTGCCTCTCTGTTTTCCAATTTTGACATTTTTAAAGCCCAGAAGCCAGTTATACGACCAACTGTCTCAATTTGGCTTTGTCTGATGCTTCTGTGTGATTAGGTTCAAACAATGCACTTTGGGCAGGAGTATCACAGAAGTGATGCTGTGTCCTTCTCAGTACATTGCATCAGGAGGCACCAGTTGTTGATTTGTCCTTTAATTGGTGATGTTAACTTTGATCATTTGGTTAAGGTAATACCTGCTAAGTAGCTATACTGTAGTGTTAATATTTTTTCCTTTGTAATTAGTAAGTACCTTATTGTAATTAATAGGTATCTTATAGGGGGATACTTTGAGACCATGTAAATACCCTACTCTTCATCAAACTTTCATCTGCTAGTTTTTGCATCTGGGATGGTCCCTGCCTAAGATATTCCTATGGTGGTTGCAAATTGGGCTGTTGCCCACACGTGGCTCTAACAAACAAGAGCCCTAACCATGTGTGTCTGTTCCAAATGGCAGTAACTGCCTTGTCTGTCTCTCTGTGGCCCACAGCCAGCCCCACGGAACCAAGGTCATCGCCGTCCCCACCCCCTAGCCCCACAGAGCCGGAGAGGAGCTCCCAGGAGCCCTTGATCCTGGCACTGGAAGGCAGCAAGGAAAACCAGCAGCCAGAGGGACGCTCCAGCTCCTCGCTTGGGGGGAAGATGTACTCGGGCAGCCAGACCACAGGGGGCATCCAGGAGATTGTGGCCATGTCCCCCGAGCTGGACACATACTCCATCACCAAGAGAGTCAAAGAGGTCCTCACGGACAACAACCTAGGTACAGGATGGCGGGAATCAGGGATGCTGCCTCCCACCCTGGTTGGCTCTTCCTTGCCTTGAGCAGAGTGCCCACCGTGAGATCCCGGGGCCCAGGGTCCAGCCTGCAGGGGCATCCAGGACCCTCTGGAAGGCATCCAGGTCGGACATGGGTCCCTAAAATAGGACAAATGGGGTGAGTGCAGGTCTGATATGACCTGAAGTCCTCAGCCCACAGTGACAATGAGACTCTAGCACAATCCTAACCCAGTGCTGAGCCCCCTCCCCTCTGGGGACACAGGAGAAACCTGTTCTAGAACTCTTTCACTCTGTGGGTCACAGACTTCTCTGAGTCTCCATTGCCAGTCAAGCCCCTCTCCCAAAGGGATGCACACAAACCCCAAATTCTTCACTGCAGTTTCTGTTCTAAAAATAAGACATGTTCATTTTTTAAAAATACCAAATAGTACAGAAAAGCTAAAAAGTGGAATTCCGCCAAGCCCCCATCAGACTTCAAAGTTTTTATATATCTTTGATACTTTCTGAAAACACAAGAATATATGTATACCTGATTTCTTAATTTTTTTCTATGTAGATGAATTTACATACATACTGTCCTATAATTTGCTTTAAAAATGATTAGACCACCTGCAGTCTTTTTCCCTGTGGCAAAGTGTTTCAGGCCAAGGATGCCCCACATTTTTTTACCCAATTGATGGACATTTTGCTATTTCCAATTTCCTACTGCCTCCAAAACTGTCGGTATGCATCTTTGTGCCTTTGAGCAAATACAAGTGGAAAATAAATCCCAGGCAGGAGAATTGCTGGATCAGAGGATATGCACACCTAAATCTTGATAGAATTTGTCAAATCACTCTCTAATGAGATGATACTAATTTGTACACAAGAAGTTTTCAGACATGCTCAGGGATCTTCTCGGAGTGATGGAAACCTTAATTATGAAAGCATTTTTGTTGATAGCTGCGGCATCACCTAACTCCCACCTCCTATTTTGCAGAAAGGTCCCCTCCAGGTTCATGCTGGGTGTGGGTTCTCCCATGTGTATGGTCCTTCCCCCAGAGTGGAGACGGCCTGCGTTCTCCTCTTTTTTGTCTCTCCTGGGTATACTCTGCCCAGCCTGAGGTAACAGGTTGCCCTCCCCTGTCCCTAGGGCAGCGGCTGTTTGGGGAGAGCATCCTGGGGCTGACACAGGGCTCCGTGTCTGACCTGCTGTCCCGCCCCAAACCCTGGCACAAGCTGAGCCTGAAGGGACGGGAGCCCTTCGTACGCATGCAGCTGTGGCTCAATGACCCCCATAATGTGGAGAAGCTGAGGGACATGAAGAAGCTGGAGAAGAAAGGTGAGCGCTGGGTATTCTGGGGGTGGCTTCAGGTTTTTCCATTGGAACCATATCTAGTTGCAACCCAAATAAAGCCAGGTCTCAGTAATCCCATCTCAGTCTGCTGCGGGGCTGCCAGAAAACAGCAATCCCCCAGAATATAATTGAAAGCAACTAAAACATTTACGGTTTCTCCCATGAAAATCCCAGTACCCCACCTCTCAGCCTTCCATACACTCGTAGCTGCTTCAAAATCTTTTTGCCCACCCCAACTGTATATTCCCCAGAAGGTGTGTTGTGTCTCTCTCTCTTTCTCTCTCTCTCTCTCTCTCTCATCCCCCTTTGCCTGTTACCCAGATTCTACACAATGAAGCACAAAGTGGCCCAGCAAACAGGAATCCTCCCTCCTGGGAGTGGGCAAGGAGATTGCGGATTCTTCCCTCATCCAGGATTATAGCCCTGAAAACATGAGCAGGCATGGAGCACCTGTGTGCTGTGTGCTCAAGCCTGTGCTGTGCTGAAGGGATTTTAAAAAGCTCAGGGTTGGGAGAGGAGATAAAAGGAACTGAGAAACTGTCACCCAGGGCACCAAGGCAGTTTCCAGTGGGGGCCCAGGGCCAAGCCAGGCCGGGAAGGGCACACGAGCTGTTGGCAGCAGTTCTCTGCAGTTGAGAACTTGGCCCACCACTCCCTGGCTCTGTAACCTTGGGCAAGTTTACTTCCTCTCAATGCTTCATTCTCCTTCATCTGAAGAGTCTCAGGGCATTGCTGAGAGGATTAAATTACAGCCTCCATTCTGAAAATGGGCTTCTTTTCCCCACATTTTGGTGGTTTGGGGTTGAGATGCATATCATGCAGTTACAGGAATCGTTTAATGTCCCTCGCCTGCAAGACTGTAGTGAACTTCAGCGACACTTGTGTCAACCAAGACAACACTGAATAGCACCCGATGCTGGGCACTTCCTGTGTGTGAGGGTCCAGCTAAGCTGTCTGCATGCTTAACATCTGGGTGCTAACGCCGGGAATTCAGAGGCAGGTGTGGGCAGACGGGTGTCTCAGTGGAGGGTTTGGGAGGATGTGGAAGCAGATCAAGGAGGGAGAAAAGAATGAGACTTTGAGGCTAGCAGTGGGTCCCCCGGAGCCACCCCTAGGGGACGGGTCTCTGCTCGGCCCCACTCAGTGCTTCCTCCCCAACCCTCCCCAGCCTACCTCAAGCGTAGGTACGGCCTCATCAGCACCGGCTCCGACAGCGAGTCTCCTGCCACCCGCTCTGAGTGCCCCAGCCCCTGCCTGCAGCCCCAGGACCTGAGCCTCCTACAAATCAAGAAGCCCCGAGTGGTGCTGGCGCCCGAGGAGAAGGAGGCGCTCAAGAAGGCATACCAGCTGGAGCCCTACCCCTCCCAGCAGACCATTGAGCTCCTCTCCTTCCAGCTCAACCTGAAGACCAACACCGTCATCAACTGGTTCCACAACTACAGGTGCGTTCGGGGCTGTGTCCACGGGGAGGGGGTTGGGTCCCCACCACAGGGCCTCTGGGAGGGAGGTGAGGAGACCTATTGCCTAGGTGTTTAGATTCAGAATCCAGGCAAACCTGGGTATAAACCCAGCTCCACTATTCCCAGCTGTGAGCACCTGAGCACATCACCTCACCGCCCTGAGTCTTAGTCTTCTGACCTATCAAATGGGACCCATAGTGGGATCTGCTTCCTAGAGTTGTCCTGAGAATTCAGTGGGCCACCATATTTACATAACATACTGGCATGGAGTAGGTGATGATATTGTTGTCACACTCTTAATTATTCACCCAGTTTGTGTCTGCATCTATGAAGGGACAAGGAATGGCATTTGGGACTCTTGGCCTCTCCCACTTCCAAGGCCAAAAGAAATCCCTCTAGCAGCCCCTGGAGGAGTGGGTGATTCCTAGATCTGTGGCTGCCTCCCACTCACAGTCCCTAGTCTTGGGGTCATTGGCCTACAGTGGCTGGACTTCCTGGGAGTCCAGTCTTGGAGCTGACTGGAGTTGTTGACTGGTTTCAGCAGTGCCCAAGGAGATTGCAGAGAGGCTCCCTGGGTTCAGCTGAGAGCCCTGTGGAGAAGGCTTGATGGGATTCCCGGAACCATCTCTGAGCCTCCCCTCTGCTCCTCCCCACTAAACATCCTGAGCAGGAAAAGTCACTGGTGTCCATGTGGTGCCAGAGAGAGTCTGTCCACATGTCCCAGGACAGAAAGAAGGTCTCTTGCACCCCAAGGGAGCCTGGAAAAGTGGAACATTTGGAACCTCCTCTCTACACAGCCCAGGCATAGGCACCCCAAAGACCTGAGTTCAGTCCCACCTTGGCTGTGTGTTCTTGGGCAAGTCACTATACTTCTCTGAGTCTCATCCCTATTTTATAGATAGACCGATAAGGAATCTTTTTTTTTTTTTTAGGATTGTATTCATCTATTTATGAGAGACACAGAGAGAGAGGGAGATAGAGACATAAATAGAGAGAGAAGCAGGTTCCCTGCAGGGAACCTGAACTGAGCCAAAGGCAGACACTCAACCCCTGAGCCACCCAGGCATCCCGGCAGATAAGGGATCTAATACTTAGCCCACAATGCTGAATCAGGGATCAGAAGAAAAGACTTAAGGCATAAATATATTGTTAAATATTGCTTATGCTCTGGCTCAGACTCAGGGCCTTCCAAACAGCAACTTACATAGGTCCTCAAATCCTCACATCCTCCTTCCCCTCCTCGGGGATGTAGAGATGTCCTCTCCCTTCCTGTCCTCCACAGGAACTGAGCACTCCATTTTTATCCAACATGTTCATTCAACAAATAGTTATGTATGCACAATGATCCAAGATCTGGAGATAACAAGGGTTCAAACCCATCATCCTTGCCCTTAGAGAGCTTAAAACTATGAACCAGATCATTTGACTACAACATAATTGTTATAAAACAATTGGGGAAGAAGGGCTAGGGAAAAGGGAATTCTGTCCAGGGAAGACTTTACAGAAGAGGTGGCATTTGAGCGGGGTTCTGAAGGATGACTAGGAATTTGCACCGAGGAGCAGAGAGAATTCGACTCCCAAAAGAAAGAAACTGGTTTCAAAGAGTCATAGAAGAATATATTATTTCATTTGGTAAATGTTTATTGAAGATCTACTCTGTACCATGCACAGAAGAGAACAGGACAAAGTCCTTGCCCTTAACATCTCTTACAGACCTGCAGGGAAGGTCACTATTAAGTGAGCGCTCATATTAATGTATCATTACAAATTGCAGTGAACTCTGGGAAAGGGGAACAACAGGATGTTTTAAGAATAAGTTACCAGGGAGAAGCGCCTGGTGCTCAGTTGGTTAGGTGTCCAACTCTTGGTTTCAGCTCAGGTCATGATCTCAGGGTTGCAGGATCGAGCCCCATGTCAGGCCAGGTTCTGTGCTCAAAGTAGAGTCTGATGGATATTGTCTTATCTGCTCCTCCCCCTGCTTGCTCACTTGCTCTCTGTCTCTCTCAAATAAATAAATAAAATCTTTAAAAATAAATAAATAAATAAATAAATTACCAGCAAGACCCTGCTATAGATTCAGGAGTCAAGAATTTTTTTTAAAAAAGACTAATTTGTACTATGATGTGAATAACTATTAGCCTCATATTTATATTTGCAGTTTGGACAATCTAATGATGGAACTTCAGACATTGAGCCATCCTAAATCCCCCTTCAATCCTGCCTCGGTAGAACCCACTAGGGCTGTCCCTGGTCCCAGCAGCTCTTCCCTCTTCTAGAGGAGACTGAGGGTGAAGGTGAAGTCCCCTGGAAGGTGGGCTAAGGCCACCTGTGTAGAGGGGCTGGAGAGTGAACAAGATGACCCCTCAGAGTCCTTCTAGGCCCAGGATACTGGGGTAGGACCCCATCCCCAACCTGGACAAGGAACCAGGGAAGCAAGAGAGTGTAGCCAGATAATTGGCTTCCCAGCCCAATCACGTGCCCTGTGATCATAGCAATCCTTTGTGTCTGAGTCTTGTCTCCTAAATCTATAGGAAAGAGACTAATATCCTTTTCCTAAAGTTATTAGGAAAAATAAATGAAATAATCTGCAAAAGGCACTTGACCTGGTGCCTGACACATGAAGAGCACCCATTATTATGATGTTTATGATTTATAATTGTTAATATTATATATCAATATCATCCTTTATTATTAATATAAATGGGCAGAGGACTACAGCAGGTAACTGAGGAAGCCCTTTTGTTGTATGGCCTCGGACGAGTCATTTGACTTCTGGACTTCATTTGCTGTTAGGAAAATAATTAGTGGGGTTAGTCCCAATCCTGGCTTGTCCTGCTCTAAAATATGTGTGAGACTACATTGCCCGCTGGCAATGACGCAGTTGAAGTGAAGAGAGAGTGACTACTGGGGTCTAGACTGAAATTTGGGCTTCCCAGGTTCTGCTCCCAGCTCTGCCTGTGTGTGCTCTGGTGACCTGAACAAGTCACGTTCCACACCTCAGTTTCCCCTTCTGGGCTGATGTCTAAGAGTCCCCACAGGAAAGAAGCAGAGAGTTGTTTCCACAAACTACATCTGAGTTTGACTTCAAGAAATGCTCTAGACTGGTCCTATCCAAAAGAAATATAATGCAATCCACATGTGATTTAAAATTTTCTAATAGGGCAGCCCCGGTGGCGCAGCGGTTTGGCACCGCCTGCAGCCCAGGGCATGATCCTGGAGACCCTGGATCAAGTCCCATGTCAGGCTCTCTGCATGGTGCCTGCTACTCTCTCTGCCTGTGTCTCTGCCTCTCTCTCTCTCTCTCTCTCTCTCTCTCTCTCTCTCTCTGTGTGTGTCTCTATGAATAAATAATTTTATAAAATAAAATTTTCTAATAGCCACGTTAAGAAAAAAAAAAAAAACAGAAATAGGGGCGCCTGGGTTGCCTTTAGCTCAGATCATTTTCCCAGGGTCCTGGGATCGAGTCCTACATCAGGCTTCCTGTGGGGAGCCTGCTTCTCCCTCTGCCTATGTCTGTGTCTCATGAATGAATGAGTAAAATCTTAAAAAAAAAATACATGAAATTAATTGTAATAGTATATTTAGCCTAATGTAACCATTTCAGTGTGTGATCAATATAAAAACTTTATTAATGAGACTTTAAATTTTTTTTTATTAAGCCTTCAAAATCCAGTGTGTATTTTAACCTGTACAGCACATCTCAATTCAGACTAGTCACATTTCAAGTGCTCAGGAGCCACATGTGGTCAGTGGCTACTGTGCTGCACAGCGCAAGTCTAGGTCCTCAACTCTAGAATCCAACAATCCTGAGAGTTCGAGCCCTGACTCTGCTACTTATTGGCTGTGTGACTTGGAGCAAGTCACTCAACATCTCTGAGACTTGTTTCCTCCTGTGTGAAGTAGGAATAATGATAGAACCCACTAGTAGGGTTGTTGACAGGGCTTACTAAGATGCTGCATAGGAAGATGCCCCCAGGGAAGTGGGTCGGGTCAAAAAGCCACTTGTTTGGATTGAGTCCTGGGTTCACCACGTCTCCCATCCAGCACCCCTTCCCCCACTTACCACCATCTCTGCCCCAGGTCCCGAATGCGCCGGGAGATGTTGGTGGAGGGGACCCAAGATGAACCAGACATTGACCCCAGCGGGGGTCCTGGCGTCTTGCCACCAGGCCACTCCCACCCAGACCCTACCCCACAGAGCCCCAATTCTGAGGCTGAGGACCAGAAGCCTACTGTGAAGGAACTGGAGCTTCAGGAAGGCTCCGAGGAGAACATCACATCCCCAACCACCCAGGACAAAGCCCAGGTGAGGATCAAGCAGGAACATACTGAGGAGGATGCAGAAGAAGCGGGCAACCAGCTCCAGGACTCAGGGGAGCCAGACAAAGGCCAAGGTTCCCCCAAAGAGGCACATCCTGACGGTCCGGGTAATGACCAACTCCCTAAAGTGGTCCCAGGGCTCCTCCTTCCAGGTGGGACCTCTCCAGACTGCCCCTCACTACAGCTCCCCCAGGAGAGTGAGGGTGGGGAGCGACTCCACCCAGACCCTCTAAGTTTTAAGTCTGTCTCAGAATCCTCGCGCTGTAGCCTGGAAGTGTCCCTGAACTCCCCCTCGGCTGCCTCCTCCCCAGGCCTCATGATGTCTGTGTCACCTGTCCCCTCCTCCTCAGCCCCCATCTCCCCGTCCCCACCCGGCGCCCCTCCTGCCAAAGTGCCGAGTGCCAGCCCCACCACCGACACAGCTGGGGCTTTGCACCCCAGCGCCAAGGTGAACTCCAACCTGCAGCGGCGACATGAGAAGATGGCCAACCTGAACAGCATCATCTACCGGCTGGAGAGGGCTGCCAACCGGGAGGAGGCCCTGGAGTGGGAGTTCTGAAGGCAGGGGCACGAGGGCAAGGGGCTTACCAGGTGGCCAGCTCCCCCTCTCCCACTCACTCTGGCAAACAGACGGGGTGGGGGAAGGAAGGAACTCAACCATCAACATGCAGACAGCAGTGTTATGCAGTTTACGTTTTTTGTTGTAATCCTAGTTCTATGACGTTGTGAGTGAACAGGTGGGGCAAGTGCCACTGCCTCCTCTTTTTGGCACCCTCTACCCCACAGAGCACCCTCTTCTCCACCCTGGCCTCTCTGCAGGAGGCAGAAGCGATGTGGCACCACATTTTCACCTGGAAACTCCAAACTCTTTTAGAAAAATAAATATTTATAGACCTCTTTTAGATATTTTAATAAAGGATCCTTTGGAATTTATTCCCAGCCAATGCTGTTTTGATATTACAGAGAGTTATAAAATCAGGATGCTGTCACAACTGTTGCGAAGTATACACTGAAGTTGTGTCGTTCTTGCCACTAGATGAGATTAAAAGAAGACAGTTGTTCAAAGCCATCACAAAACACTATAAGACTGACCAAAATTTAGATAACCCTTGAACTACAGTTTTTTTTTTCCATATCTGTCTGTGAGACACAGCACATTGCTACTGCCCTTCCAGAAACCGTGCTGAAAAGAGAAAGTCCAAAAGACTCTAAATGAAAACCTCGATGCCGTTGAGGATGTGTTTCATTCTGGTGGTCTGTTTTGCAACCTTGATAACACAGAACGTCCCGTGCCATTGTAAATGTTGTAGAGATGTGGGCTGTAGCCGACCATCCTACCCGAGATGTGACATGGTACAAAACAAACTGCTTCTGCTCCCTCTAGTCAGAAACCTGTGGGCCACGGACGTTGGACACACAGCCTGTCCATCTGTAGACAAGATGTGTTTCTGGATCTTCTGGGAAGCCAGGCAAGGGGTCAGGTGATTGGAGGGCAGCACTTGAGCCAGGGTGACCCCGATCCCCAACCTGATTCGTGGCCACCGCACAGGAAGTTTCCCCACTGGCTTTCCAGAGCAGGACTGCAGCCACCATCTTCCCCTCCCTATGTTTTAAGAAAATAACAGCTTTGGTCATCCCATGAGCACCTGGCACCAAAAAGTAGATTCCTCCAACTAGTGACCCCAACTACCCTTCTTGCCATCTCCTTTCTCAAGTTGACACAGGTGCTATTTCTGGAAGGCACCTGCAACTCCCAAGTCCACACAGAACAAAGAGAAAATGTTGAGTTCACCGCAGCAGGACCACTGTATCCCAGTCTCTAAATCTACCCTCCTGCCTTCCAACACACGACCTTTTGGGAAGCAAAGACTCAATCCCCCCAACTCAGAGAAGCCCTTCTTCTAGAATCTTCGTTGTCAGGGTTTCTGGTGGGAGAGTTCCCAGTTTGGACGGAACAGCCACCATGTTGTTTTTTTACTCTCTTTCCTGTTATTATTTCTTTTTCCTTTTTCAAACTCTCTGCGGGAAGGCTGAATTGGTGACTCCCCAGCTGAATCCGGAATGACAATGAAAATAGGGCCATAATCAGTGCCAATCCAGTGCCAGGGGGAGATGGCTGATGGGTTTCAAGGATGCAGCAAGCATTTTGAAACCAGGCCAGCAAAATCCAGTGACCAGAAGGGGACAGTTGAGAGCTGTTCCAGAAATCTCAACTCTCATGCACCCAGGCCAGGCTGCAGTCTCCACAATCCATGAAGAACAACACAAACCTTGCAGGAAAACATCATTTTCCATACATCCAGGCTATGCATTGAAGAGTTTTCCACTGTATACATTTTTATCCAGATGAAGGTATTTTTATATTTTGACAATAGGAAACAGTGACCAATTTTCAGAGTAATCAAATCTGGAACAAATGAAACATCTTTTAGCCACCACCGCCCTATTGCAATTAAGACAACTGTGAGGGAATACACCACTTTCTACTGTTGAAACCCCCACAACACTGAAATCCGGGCTCACCCGCAGACTACAAATCTTAGAGGACTAAATCTGGCTTTTGTGTGACGGGATTTGATTAAGCACTTAGTATATAGTCTTTTGAACACGGAAATCCTGTTGTACTTAAAGCTAGCAGACCCATGAACAACTTTGTCAGGTTCACGTCCTGTAACGGTAAAAGCAAAACAAAAATCCACAAAATCATTTCTATGAGAGATTGATGAACTTTGTTTAAAATTTTAAAAATAACACGTTCTGTAAACGCGTCGCTCAATACAGAATTGTATAATAATGTCTAGGTGTCCTGCTTGCTTTGTTCTGGAGCTGGGGATGTCAATTAGGGGTCCAGTCTGGCCCTCAGAGATGTTTTACAAAACATTTTTTTTGAAAACCTGGCTTTTAAATTAGTTTGCCACCATTAAAATATGGGGGCACATCACGTAAAAATTGCAATTACCAATTTCTCTTAAAAACCATAAGATCGGGGGGATCCCTGGGTGGCTCAGCGGTTTAATGTCTACCTTTGGCCCAGGGCATGATCCTGGAGTCCCGGGATCGAGTCCCACATCGGGCTTCCTGCATGGAGCCTGCTTCTCCCTCTGCCTGTGTCTCTGCCTCTCTCTCTCTCTCTCTCTCTCTCTCTCTCTTTCTCTCTCTCTGGTCTCTCATGAATAAAGAAATAAAATCTTTTTAAAAATGAATAAAAAAAAACACATAAGATCTGGCCACACTGGGCCCACGTTTCAATGTGACAGCAGCTCCCCCCTTGAGACAGGACACTTGGCTGTGATCACCCTCAGTCCTCACCTGTGCCACCTGCCTAAGTCCTATGACATCTCTGTTAGCAATTGTGCTATGGGCTCCAGCAAAAGAAAATGGAAGGTTTGGAATCCATTTTTTGGAATCCAGAGCAAGTTAAGCTCTGGGGCTGAGATCATGCCCTGCCCACACCTCAGTGGCGTGAGGAACAGGTGTCCTCAGCCTCCTGATAAGAAAATGCTGGGATACCTGGGTGGCTCAGAGGTTGGGCATCTGCCTTCCACTCAGGGCATGATCCTAGAGTTCTGGGATCGAGTCCTGCATTGAGCCTCCCTGCATGGAGCCTGCTTCTCCCTCTGCCTATGTCTCTGCCTCTCTCTGTATGTTTCTCATGAATAATAAATAAAATCTGAAAACAAAAAAAAAGAAGAAGAAAGGAAAATGCTAAGAGGGGCTTCCTAGTAACCAACAGAGCATTCATTGCCTCTTCCCATGCTGTTTAACCCAGGCCTTGGTTTTCCCCGTCTGAGAAATAGGGGTCTCACAGCAGCCAGCTCAGGTGAGTATGAGGAATCGTCATGCACATAAAATACGTAAGACAGTGTATGGCACATCACGACTCTACATTACCTATTGTTATCATGAGCAGGGTTGGGTTCTTCCAAGCCGTGATGGTGAGTCTGTGCTTCAAGCTGTTGGAGGGTTTTTTCCCTGACCAATAATGTCCGGAGAGCCCCTGGGGTGGCATTACTCATCCATGAGCCAAGGCCACATGCTATCCCAAGACAGACCTTTTCTCTCTGCTGGGAAACCTTCTGCATGTCCTTAAAGTGGGAATTAAGGGATTAATTAAATTCATTGGAATAACTAATTACTCCAAAGCCGGCAGGTTGGCCCCTTGGGGTGCCTGATCACTCCATCAGTGCAGGGAGGGGGGCGTCCAGGAGGCCAAGGTCAAAATGGTCCCGTAGAGGTCCTGAGCTAGCCCTTAGGGGTTCGCTCAGAGTTGGAGAGGAGAAGGAGAGTCCAGAGCTTAAGGCGAGGGGCCAGAGCACCTGGTTTCAACCCTGGCTCTACTTGGAGCCATAGCACCTTGGGTAAAAGCCTGAACTGCTCTGTGCCGCCTCCCTTTTCCAAGCTGTGTGGATGAGGTAGGGATGGCACCTTCCCTTAAGGCGGTTTTAAGGACTCAAATGAAGCAGAGCCAAGGACTGACCCTTTGGGCCCTCAGTTCACACCTCTGGAAAAACAGAAGGCAGAAACCCCTGGGATATGGCTCCCTGGTGTAAGTGGGGCAGGAGTAGGGAAGCCACATCGAACACACACACAAGCCACCTGAGAACCTGCGGAAACAGGTGCCCCCAGCCTCCGGGAAATAAAGCTCCATCCTGGACCATCATCTTTGTGTTGACATTGTCTGCAGTTGCTGCTCATCTGGAGTGGAAAATGCGGTAAAAAACACAGAAATGTGGAATTCTGAACTAGGGAGCACAGGCGAGTGGGGAATGGTGAGGCCAGAAGGGAACGAGAAGGCAGGGAAGGACTTGGAGGAGGGTGAGAGGTAGTAATTTTCAATCGGGGGAGAGCAGAGAGTTGAGTTGGGGGAAATTTGGTGACTGTCCAGGTAATAAGTATTTATTGAGTGCCTACATGTGCTCAGTGACTCAGTGGCAGGAACATGGGGAACCATGAGAGTATAAGTAGTGGAGTCCAGGAAGGCTTCCTGGAGGAAAGGACATTGCAGCTGACACCTGAAATACTATAGGAGCTGGGGAGAAGCAGGGACAAGAACATGGGGAAACAGGTCCAAAGAAGGCTGGAATTTGAGGTGGGAGTGGAAGGAAGTAGAAGGATGAGGGTCAGATGCTGAAGCCCGTTGGGACATGGTGGGAAATAGGCTTTTCTCCTGAGGGTACTGGAAGCCATAGAGGGTGTGAGAGGGAGTTGCTATGGTCAAACTTGCACCTTAGGAGGTTAGGAGGTTCCATCTGCCTGGAGAGATGCAAGCCAGAGGGGAGCAGTAGGGCCCACCCCTACCATAGGCCCTGACCCTCAGGCCTCGATGGTCCTTGCTTCCTACCCCTGCCCTCCTTTGGCTCCTAGTTAAGCTCCTGCATTGGGCCAGTAGCCCTACCTCCCATCACCTACTGGTGAGTGAAAAAAAACAGACCTCACCAGGCTGATTGGCCAGGGCCTGCCAGGGTGGCTATTCTCTTTTTTTTTTTTTTTAAGATTTTATTTATTTATTCATGAGAGACATAGAGAGAGAGGCAGAGAGAGAAGCAGGCTCCATGCAGGAAGCCCGACGTGGGACCCGATCCCAGGATCACACCCTGGGCTGCAGGCGGCGCCAAACCGGTGCGCCACCGGGGCTGCCCCAGGGATGCTATTCTTGAGATCCTTCTAAAGGCCAGGCTCTGCATAGCTAACGGCACAGGGTGTATCTTGCTCTAGGATCTGGTCTGCCCTTGCAGGCACCCTGGAGGCTGAAGTCACTCCTGCAAACTCAAGAGCAGTAGGGATGGAGCAAGGACACCACCTTGAGTGACCTTAGTCAAGGTGACTCCTCACCCCCAAGTCCATTTCCCCATCTGCCACAATGAAGGGGTAAGTCTTGGTCTCATGACCTTCTCCAGCCCTCCAGGGTGTAGTTGTTAAAAGCACTGGCTTTGGACTTGGCCTGGCCTGGGTTTGACTCTCCACTATCAGGCAATCTAGAGTCCTTCAATGAGATTCAGTTTCCTTACCTGTAAAATGGACAAGATCATAATAGTATCTATCTGTGTTGTTGTCTCTTAACACCTAACAAATAACGCCAAAACCTAGTGGTTTAAAAGGGTAAACATTTACCTCTCAATCTCTTGGGCCAGGAATTTGGGAGTGGTGTAACTGGGTGGTTCTGGCTCCTAGATCCCTCACGAGGGTTACCATTGAGCCGCCAGCTGGGCTGCAGTCTTCCGAAGGCCAGGCCGTTCTGGGTCTGGAAAATCTGCCTCCAAAATGGTGCACTCCCATGAGACTGTTGAGCTGGTACTGGCTTGTTGGCTGAGGGTTTCAGTTCCTCTGGAAGGGCTGCTCCAGCATCCCCACAACATGGCAGCCAACAGTGAGCAAGGCAGAGGCTGCGCGGTCTTCTGGGACCCAGATTTGGAAGCCTCACTGTCACTCCCACAGTATTTTCTTGGCCACGCAGTTCTGCCGTGATTCAGGGTGGGAGGGGATAGCCCAAAGGCAGGGACACCAGGAGGCAAGGATCATCAGGGCCCCTCATGGGGGCTGGCTACCACACTGCCTTAGAAGTCTCTTTGAAGATTAAATGAGCATTTCCTAAGCTGTGGCCCTAAAATCCCTGTTACCTACTGACCCAGACTTCCGGGAGCCAGAACCCAGGAATCTGCATTTTTAAGCCATACCTCCGCCCCTCTCCAAGTGACTAGACATCATAGGTGTCAGTAAATGGGAGGCAGTCCTAATTTCATTTTGTTTTGTTGGCCCCAGTGGGTGGGCCAGGCCCCCCAGAAGGATGCTGGTGGAACAGAAGAGCACAGGCACGCAGAACAAACATTCCCTGGGTGTCTTGGCATAGTCGGGAATGGCTGGGTTGAGAGATATTTTGATTCACTTAAAGATGTGTGGACAGTTCATTGGGAAGATCCAGAGGTGATCCGTGAAATCCAAAGGCAGGAGGGTTCAGCCGGACATTGGGGCACCAGTCTCTCTCACAGGCAGCCCTCACACCTGAGTCTGCTCCTTCCAAATCCAACTTCTCGGGACACTGCCTGGCTCAGCTTGTGTCTGAGGACCAACACCTGCCAGGCAACCAGTCAGGAGGGAAGAATCGAGTGAGCTCATTGGGGAGGGGAGGCAGTGATTGGCGTCTCAGTGCTAAGCCCTGGGGGATGCACCTGAGGCGGACCTGGTACCCACAAGCAGGAGCAATTTTAGAAACTGGGACAAGGAGCAGAAACTTTTCCATAGCTAAGTTTGTGTAAAGTCAGGTAAGGTATCTGGGGAGGAGTTGGGTGTGGATAGTTGAGACAAAAGAGCCCCACTTAGAACATAGAAGGTGCAGTGCTATTCTTTCAGTATTTTTTCGCTCCCAAGAGATGGAAGTCTTCCAAGGAAAGGATGTCCCAGGGAATACCATCCAGCACTAACCTTCTCCCCACTGAGCTGACAGGAGCTCTACATTTGGTACCCTAGGGCCATGCTCCTTAGAGGGAACAGCTACAAATCACTTGAACTTACCCGTTAGGAAGCCTCTGGCTGCAAATAACAAAAACATTCCTCCCAAAGCTTTATTTTTTTTTAAGATTTTATTTATTTATTCATGAGAGACACAAAGAGAGACAGGGGCATAGACAAAGGGAGGAGAAGCAGGCTCCCTGTAGGAGCCCAATGTGGGACTTGATCCCAGAACTCCGGGATCATGCCCTGGGCCTAAAGCAGACGCTCAACTGCTGAGCCACCCAGGCGTCCCCCTCTCAAAGCTTTAAACAAAGACATTTATTACTTCAAATAACAAGATATCCTTAGATTCATCAGCTCAAGGATATCTTTAAGTGTGTGCAAAACCCAGCAGGGCATATTTTCCTTAGCGCAGCCTACTTCATGATCACAAAATGGCTGCTACAGCTCTAGGCATCAGACATAACTTACCACCAGAGAACAATGAAGAGCTCCTCATTGTGTCTCTTTTAATTTATTTTTTATTTTTTTAAAGATTTTATTTATTTATTCATGAGAGACACAGAGAGAGGGGCAGAGACACAGGCAGAGGGAGAAGCAG